ATATCAGCCCAGGATGGATAACAGGCCCTCCAGCTCCGCCTCCCTATTTCCTCCAAAAACATCAGGAAATTGTGACTATTGTGAATATTTCAGCCCTGAACGGAACCATGTCTGTGTGGTCTTCTGCCCCCCTCCGTTCCCTTAAATTGTTCTTCTTGCCATTTGGGATGAATCATTCATAAGTTGGGGGTCTCTGGTTCTCAAGCTGCTCATGCATGTTCTTTTTAAAAAATGAATAAAGCTGGTCAGTGCACACAACACAGGCCAGATTACTTTATATGTAGCAGAATGTGTGAAAGCACCAGGGTCACTTTTACTTTTCTTTATTTTATAATAAGGCTGAAGATCAGGATAGGGTTTGGTGTCCTGTGCTGCTGTGACTTCAGGAAATATCTTTAGGAAACGTATGAACAGTGTTCTCTCATCAGTCCTGCTGTTTGAATATGGATATTTATAGCTGCATATATTCTGTGGCTGTCAGTCAGCTCGTCAGCAGCTATATAAATAGGCTGATTTTAATGAATTTCCTCTACCCATATTTTGAGACTTTATTCACCAAAACACACAAGCAAAAGGGGGTGAGCTGTAGAAAGCTTTACTTAACAGGCATGTGTCTTCCTTCAAAAACCCTGAGGAGAAAGTGTCAAAAAATATGGTGAACCATTTTTCAGCAAAAAAATTAATTGCCTTTTACCTCCATTTTTATGTGTATTCAGCTCCCAGTGATAGAGAGCGCAGACACCTGAGTTTTTACCTGAAGAGGGAATAAAACATGAAGGTAGTCTCAGTAATGTTATGAAGCCCTACAATGGGAGTCGCCATATTGGAAATACTGACTCCAATAACAGTCAATCAATAAATAAGCAAAGGCAGCTCAAAAGAACCAAGATCTACTGATCACCAAACCATGTACAATCCATCACAGAAAAAAAGGTTGTATACCAGGCTTTAATATAGGCTTTAAAAAGGAATCATCAGTTTATTTAGTCAGCTTCAACACTTAAGGAACTGTAGTTTCTTTGAAATCCAAGGCGGCTGCCTCCTGCATCAAGTGTAAAAAGCTGTACTTTGTATATTTATATTTATCAGCTCATTATTGTTTTGTGTGAAGAAATCATTCACACTGGTGGCAATGTGCAAGTTCTACCTGTGAACATTTTTCATTTTGACTTTGTTTTCCAACTATCAGGCAGCAGTCCAGCTGAACAGGAGTCTGAGTTTGTGTCCACTAGTACCTGGTACTCTGTCAGCTCAGGTTTGACATCATTCCTAACTCCAACTTCATAGCCAACAGTGCAGTTTCTATTGGACAAGAAATGTAAACATAAAATTAACACTTGCTTTCCTTAAAAATGTCTCTACATGTAAACAGGCTACAACTGGCTGACAGGAATAACCCTGAACAACTTTTTAAACTCATTTAAACTTCTTCTCATATTTTCCTGGAGGAAAAAGAAATTGAATGATTATCTGCTTATTTCACAGATGAAAAAATCAATTAATCGAAAATATATCACCATCAAAAGTGTATTTTTTTTCATAAACCCAGCAGAGAAAACAATAATGACCTGACACAAATAATAATTGCCAGATTATTTTCTCACTTACCTCCCAGGGTTTGCGCGGTTTACCCCCTATACGAATAAACTTTAAATGTTGGTATATGGGACCGTGGAAGATACGAATGATTCACATTATCTTTCAGATTATTGGGCATGTGTCACATTATATCAGGAAGGAAATGGATATGTGGCCTTATTTCTGTCATTATCCTGTTGGTGAGTGTGAGGAAGGACTGTATTTTTATATGATGACATGGGAGTCCATGTTATTTTGCATGTCTGTTTGGCTTATATGCTACCAATGACTGTACTCTGTATCTTGATTCTGAAATCTAAAAATGACTACAAACAACATTCCTTCATATGCTGACTTGTGTACTGTGCAGGAGTGTTGTATCTATTTCTACTGTTATGGTGTACAGTAAACTTGAAGCAACTGCCAATGTAATAATCCCAAACATGTAGGAGAAAAAGAGTCGTAGGGTAGATTTGTATCACAGTGTTTAAAACATGCATGCAAGCGTGTCTAATGATCAATAAGTACACTAACCCAAAGTCATATAAGCTCCTGGATATTTTTGTATGAAGCATGTTGATCTTTCTATACACTGTGTACAGTTATAGTTTGTGATACTGACAGACTCACATTACCCCGGTCTCTTGTGTTGTGTACCTCTCACTTGTAGTTGTAAATATACATGTAAAGTGATGAACAGAACATTTTGTAAACAGTCTTCCTTCCATTTGACTGGTTATTTTTGTCTCCGTTCGTGTTGGTCTGAATTTAGTTCAGAGTTTGTCAGTGATTTCTAGTTTTTTTCCTTAGATATAAAATAAAGATAATCTCAAAGGTTTATCTCTAGTCTGTGCATGAAAGTGAAGTATGCTAATATCTTACAAGGAACTGAAGGGTCATTTTGGGGACTGCAGAACAAAGAGATATTCCTTAAATGACCTGCAAGGAAAGAGTCAGATTTTATATCACCATGCTCCCCTGCACCCTTACTCACCCCTCCTGAGAAGAGCTCTTGTGATGCATGATACAGATGATACTCCATTTATCAAATTTTAACCATTAAAATATCTTTTATTGCTACACAATGATAACAGCCACTATCTTCTTCATACTCTCCTTCTTTTTCCTCCAACTTGTGGCCACTCAGGGGACATAAAAATGCATGTCACGAGGCAGTGCAAGACCGTGGTCAACACATATGGGAATCTTGAATTTTTACTCCAATTTAAGACAAAAAAAATCTATTTCGGTGTTTCTATTTTAATTCAGACATGTTTGTGACAATTATACCACTTTGTTGCCACCAGAATGCAGCTAAATACTGCACTACACGCTGTCCTTTTAGTGCCTTTTGTAGAGGAAAAACAAAACATTGAAAATAACATTGATAATGTGAGCAAGGATCACCAAAGTACGCTTGTGTTTTGGATGTTTTTATTCATTAGTATCTAGTTTGCCTTATAGCCTGCATAATTTCACAAAAAACAAACATGTTTAGTAATATTATTTACTATCTTTAGCCTTTTTTCATTGGAAAAAGTGGCTGTCCCTTTTATACTTAACAGTACTCAACAGTAAAAAAATATAGACCATTTGCTGTGAGGGAGTTTTTAAAACCTTGTAATGATATGCCTGAGGGGTCAAATTTTCCTGCTGTTGATTTCATAACCTAAAGATGGAGCACAGGGTTTTATTTTGGGCATGTTGCTTGTACTTTTAAAATCCTTATACCAACACCATGTTCAGTAGCAATATTAAATCTTTCAATCTTAAACTCATGTACCTAAATTCTCAGTGTGTAACACTCTTGTAAATTTAAATTATTATATAGAAGATACTTCACTGTAAGATGAAATTTCTATATCTAAAGTACCACACTGCCACTCAGTGGAAATGAACAAACATTGACTGGAACTGGAAATAGTGATCAATAGAATCTGTCAAAGCATTTAAACCATTGTGATTTATTCAGTGTTAAAATTATTATTAGTTGAATGAATCATGCAAATGTATCTAAATACCACTCACTGATAGAAGCTGCTCACATATTCAAATCCACTGCCACTAAATCCGCTCCGCAGTTGTACTTCACCGCATGATAGTATTGCTGCCTTCAGGAACTCTTTCTTGCTCTCCTATCATGAGGGTGTCAAAAACAAACATTTGTGTGCAGTTTGTAAAAGCTACGTGCAAAGTCTGATCTAACCACACAGTGCAATATAAGGTTTAACGAAAACACAGGTGTGTGTGTGTTTGATGTTGGATTTACCGTAGACTGTATATACTATGGACAACTTGGTTCCGCCTTCTGCCAGTATACGGATTTGAAGCCAAAAAGCTCTCAGTAATTCCATGTTTTTTCTCCACTTCCTGAAACCAACATTGCGCAGTAGCATTGTACGCATTTGGCGGTAGAGTCGGTGTGATGACGCTCGGTGTATCCCCTGGGTGAGCTACGCAATCTTCATACGCCCATAGACTGTTTCCATTGCCAATCAGACAAAATATGAACACCCTAATAACTTAAAAATAGAGCTGTACAGAAAAAAGAGGACTTGAGCACAAACCAGTCTTACAATAACTACATGTCAACATTGCAAGCGTGGGGGAGAAAAATGTATATTTTGTGTAATAAATTTCTAAAGTTTGTCCACAGCCCCATAAGGATGGCTGGCGGAGGCGGGATTTATGACCTGTACCGCAGCCCGTCACCAGGGTATGCTGTTCTCGGAGTGGCTTCACCCAGCAAGGAGGCAGACGCTGTCCATTCTAAATACAGGCTGTGTCCGAAATGAATCACTCAATCCCTAACCCCTAACCCCCATATGGGATTTTACTATATAGTTGACTATGTAGTGAACTCAATCACCTGTGATATCGGACACTACATGGCAAGACACACTGCATGACGGGATGCCCACCACCGGTGAGTGACCATCGGATGGTCACTACATTTTGCAATGCTTTATGGGAAACTTTGAGTCGACTATATAGGGCACTGGATTTGATTACTGAGGTTTCTGACACCCCTCAAAATGGCGCTAACCCCCATATCGTCATCTGTATAAGGGTTAGGGATCCATTTTGGACACAGCCGCAGTCTATGGTTTTTACCCAAGTGTTTTGCTTGTGATCGTATAAGGATGTCTGATATATAGCTTGGTACTATTGTAGCCCACTGACAACAATGAGCAAAGAACAATTTGCTTTCACAATAAACGTCAAACCACATAACAGCCTGGGATTCTTGGTATTTAAAGACTCTCTCGATACCTTTATACGATTTAGAGCGATAAAATGATCAAATATCTTACTAAATACTGCCAGGGTAATAGCTGCAATTGTAGAAGTGGGTTTTCCATGTTCGCCCTGAAGGCATCACCCGGTCTTCCATAAACTATGAAGTGGATCCCCGGATCGCCTCCCTCAGCCGGGGCGGGCCTTTCCTCTGTGTCGTTGCTACAGGGATACCAAGATGGAAATACAGGGGCTCTCTGATGCCCAAAACATCCATTGTCAACATGGCGCCCTCCTCAGACCCTCAACATCTCCGCCGCGGTCGGTTAAAGGGTCTGTTCAGCGTTTTATTTCCACAGAATCTGAAGCGAGCGGACTTTCGGGGTCATTTAAGCCACAAGGGGAAGACAACAACAACAACAAATGTAGGCCGAGGACGTCAGCGTTTGACATGCTGCTGGAAAATGGCAGCGAGGCGGTTTGTTCGTCTGTCCAGCCAAGACCAACAGATAAAACCAAACGGTTGTTTAACATCGACAAAGCGAGTATTGGACTTAATAACGTTAACTCTGAGAGGAGAAATTATTCGCATGAGTCTGTGAGGACTGCCCGGAACTGCGGGTCAGGCAGCGGGGATGTTGTGTTGCAGATGGCGCTGCCCTCTTTTGAAGGGGAAGAGGAACCGTTGCCGCAGCGGCAGTTAACGTTACCGTTTACAGCTTTACGGCAGCAGCGCGAGGACGGCGCCTTCAAGCAGACCAGCCACAGCTGCGGTGCTGCGCCGGGGAGCTCCAACACGGAGACCGGGGCCCACAACCCCCTGGACCATATCGATTTTAATGTTGTTCACGAGGACGGCAACGAAGAGGCGACCAAACAGCGAGCGGAGTTACCTCCCCCCGCTAAAGTGAAAGGTAGAAACCCGGAATGCTCCACAGTAAGCCCCAGTGGCTCCATGGAGGCTCGAAACGTCAGGGAGATAATTCTGTGTGAATTTGATGACAACTTTAACTGTCTGGACTCCGAAGTTTTAAAGAAAGCCGAACATGTTTTCAATTTTCTGAACGACAACTCGGTTTTGGCTAATGCTAAACAGGCTGTGGTAGAAGACGTTGTTTTGACAAACAAATATGGCGATAAGATTTGTGGTCAGATTTGTAACGAAAACATCGAGAGCAGGCTGCTAAGAGAGGTTCCGCCTCAACCGAGTCCTGCTATCGTCGAAACCATGGACACTCCGGACTTTATTTCGGACTCAACGGGGCTGCAGGACACCGCAAACCCGGGCACGGCCTCGACTAGTCCGCCTGCTGGTGAAACCTTTTCCGGAACTATCACTATAAACAACCAAAGCATCATTGTGACCATTGAAAACGGGGTCCTGACTCTGGCTGCTCCTCCAGAGGGATATGTGCACAAAGAGGATGATATGATCAGCCTGAAAGAGCACCTTGGCATGAAAGACCATGAGGATATTGTTCTTCTGAACTATGATAGTGGCACCAAGTCCATTGGTAAGATCAGCACATTGGCAGTATCCAGCTCTTGTCAGCAGGATGAGCCCAGGCCTGGTGTGTCTGTGAGTGACTCTGAGCTGGCTCTGGTAGATGACTGCACCTTATCAGAGCTCGGCACGTCTCTGGACTCCTGTCCTATTATTAAACAGGAGGCAAGGGAGCTGTGTGCCGTAACAGAGGCCGATCTGGTTGAACCACACCCCAAAGTGGCTGACCATGACAGTGGGGACTTCCAGTCTGTTCAGTTGATTCGATCTAAAAAAGAGACGGTGACTTCTTTTCATTGCCCACAACCAGACTGCAGCTCCACATTTGACACACGCCAAAAACTCAAGGTTCACCTTCTGAACCATGCTGAGGACCCTCGTCCCTACCAGTGCACCGTGGAAGGTTGTGGCTGGGCATTCGGTACTTCCTATAAACTCAAGCGGCACCTTCAGTCCCACGACAAGCAGCGGCCACATACCTGTCAGTTTGAAGGCTGTGGGCGGCGATTCACCACCGTCTACAACCTTAAAGCTCACATCAAAGTCCATCAGCAGGATAATGCCTTTGTCTGTGAGATCTGCAGTGAGAGATTTCGCAGTGCATCCCGACTCACCAATCACCAGAGGGTCCACTTTGAGCCACAGAGGCCCCACAAATGTGAATTCCCAGGTAACACAAGCTGAATACATTTATATTCATCTTATATGTTAAATACTTTACATAGACTCTATGTTGTACACTAAGGGTGGGAGAAAAAAATCGATAAAGCATATTGCGATATTTTGTCTGGTGATATATTGTATCGTCTCATTTACCGAACATTGATTTTTTAAAATTAATTGTTGATATGAAGTCAAATCTGTGATAATGGATAAATAAAATCAACTGTTTTTCCAGTGAGAGCAGGAGAAAGTTAGTGCAACATATAAATCAGCACCTGGGGAAGGACATTAGGAATGCAAGCAGGGCACAAATAAGATGGACTTGACATGTAAGGTTTGCAAGATGTGAAAATAAAATACTGTGTAAATACGACAAACATAAAGGAAAAACAAATGCTAAATTAGCTCACCAGTTGAAAAAATTGTATAAATCGCAATGTATTGTATTGGATTACTCACTGTATTGCAAAATGTTAAAAATCGCAATAATATTGTACCGTGGGGCCACTGGTGATTCCCACCCTTATTATGCACTGTATCACCCTGCTCACCTGCTTACATTTGATATGAAGAAAAAAATCCTGAAGGTAGCTGGATTTAAGAAACACAAAGCATTTCTCAAAGTCTGTATTAAGTTAGAGAAGTTCAGAAAGAGGACATTGCAGTCAGAGTCATTTCCTGTATTGGCGTCACATTGGTGGTTTGGCCACTGACCAGCATTAGATCCTTAGAGTTAAATAAAGGAAGTAATATAAGAGCACAGGTGACAACTCATCAAAGTAAGGGCTGAACCCATTTTTGAAAGTTACATGCTCTAATCATGCAAAATGATCAGAACTTAATTTTCAGATAAAAAAATTCTGTAGAATATTGGCATTATTCTAGACCTGCCTCAGCAACAGGGTTCAGCCAGATCAGTTTACAGGAAGAGAAAATGACAATATATCACTATTGATCAGTGTTTTTTTTCCACTAGTTTGATGACACAGCAGTTACTGTTTACAACATGTGAACCCTGTCTGTGGGTGTAACCAGCATGTATTTTTCCAGCATGCATGATTAACCGCTGGGTATCATAACTTGGCGCCAAAAGACAATGCAGGTAGTAGGTGTAGGTGTTACTGTATTCCAGGTACAAAGCTTGTTTTAATCTGCCATTCCTGTGATTGTAATGTTTCTCTTTGTCCTATGCAGGCTGTGAGAAAACCTTCATCACCTTCAGTGCCCTGTTCTCCCACAATCGCACTCACTTCAGGGAAACGGGCCACTTCACCTGCACCTTCCCAGGCTGCGACAAGACATATGACAAGGCCTGCCGTCTCAAAATCCACATGAGGAGTCACACTGGTAAGCTGGTAGTGTTGCTGTAGGTGAATTTATAGGAACATGTCCAGTAAACAGTGTCTCTGATGAAACATGTTTCTTTCAAACCGAACATTAGCATGTATTCAGGTCACAGAGATGTCGAGGATCTTTTTTTTCTTTCTTTTTCGAGAAAAGTCATTCCTCTTATCACATGATTCTGTTGCTGTGCTGCCCCCTGTTCACTCACTCCCTTGGAAAGCAGCGTGTTTCCTGCTTTCCACTTTATCAGTGTAGTTGCACAGAAAAGCATGAGCCTGCTCGCATATGACTGCTTGAACAGTTTCAGGTCACTCCACTGAGCTTGTACAGGCACACTGCCATGACAAGGGTTTGAAACCATTTCAATTTGACCAAGTCTGATCCCAGTTTTAGTGGTATTGTGGTATTAAGTGTCTACTTTGACAGGAATTCGTCCTGTTTTACCTCAGCTTTGAAACTGAACAGCACTGTGTTTTATAGGAAGAATTCAACTGGAAAAATTACTAATGAAAACCACCTGTAAGCAAGATTAAGTTAACCCAATATACTGTACATGCGAGTTTGAGCTCAACTAGGTTTTTGAACCGCAGATTTTTTGGTGCACCCCTTATACCTTGCCATACTGGACTCTTTGCGTCTAATGCCTTTGCTCTGTTTCTTTTTAAAAGCATAATTGCTGCTCTATGTGAATACGATTTTTGGTTGGACGGGCTGTTTACCTTCTGCCTTTAGTCATTTAGCTCATATGGTATCAGGGCTGGTTCATAGCACAGAGGAAGGGTACTTCTTTTTATTGCTGTTTAAAATATTAACTACAACCCTGTTCTAAACAAACTGTTGTTTTCTTTTTTTCAGGTGAGAGGCCGTTTGTCTGTGACTCAAAGGGCTGTGGCTGGTCCTTCACCAGCATGTCGAAGTTGCTGCGACATAAACGGTTAGTGTTGTCTTAAGACCAGTCTGCTAAAGTCAAGTAACTCACACAGAACAGTTCACATTTCAGTTTTCCATCGCTCTGAGTAGGGCTGCACGATTAATCAATTTTAACGCGGTATTAACCCGTCCACAGGGAAACTAATTCAGGAGTAAACGCAAAAGTTTTGAGTCGTATCGGCGTTTCATCCACACAGAAACGGTATTTCAGGTGACTGTAAACAGTACTTTTTGAAAATGGGTCAGTGAGTGCATAAATCCGTAAACCACTACCATTTCATCTGCCTATTTACATCTTGAAACGTAATTATGTCACACACAGCGTAACTCTTTTATGGTGGCTGCGTGTGTGCGACCAAACCAACCTTAATATGCATGCTCTGTACTCTTCTTTTGTCTTTTGTGCATTTCTCCGACAGCGTTACAGCACCACTTACTGATTTGGTATACGCACTACATTGTTTTCAGTGGTTTTGTTTTGAGAGATGATAGAAAAACCTTTTATTTTTAAAGTGAATACAAAATTCAAATCAAAAATCAAGTTTTCAGAGAAAAAAATCAGGGTTTTTATTTTTGGCCAAAATCGTGCGGCACTAGCTCTGAGTTTGTGATTTCAGTTCTGTCACTCAGGTAACTCATCTTAGTTTTAGTTCCACCATGGTGTGTAAACAAGTATGAATTATAGAGTTTCAACTTTCTCATTTTACATATTTTTTTTTTTTAGAAAACATGATGACGACCGTCGTTTTGTCTGCACAGAGGAGGGATGTGGGAAATCCTTCACCAGGGCAGAGCACCTCAAAGGTCACAGCATCACCCATCTGGGGACTAAGCCCTTTCAGTGCCACGCAGAAGGTATGAAACAGGAACCAAACTAAATAAGAGTCAGTGGGAAAGAGTCAGTTTTGCATGCTTTTTTAAAACTCTCAACAGGAAGTTATTTTTTTTTTATCTGTGTTATCTGTAGTTTTGTATTTTCTGACCTGCTAATCAGGTCTGGTGTTTGGTTCCTTGTTCCCCCAGGCTGTACTGCCAGGTTTTCAGCACGCAGCAGCCTGTATATTCACTCCAAGAAGCATAAGCAGGATACCAGCACCCTGAGGACCCGCTGTCCTGTGGCAAACTGCTCCAAACACTTCTCATCCCGCAGCAGCCTTAAGAGCCACATGCTCAAACACCACCACCTCAGTCCTGGTGAGTGTCAAGTGGCTTTGCAGTGAAGACACTTTGTGCTTCAACTCTTAGGATTTTGTTTCTCTTGAAAAATATCAATTAAATATTTGCAACTCTTCAGAGATTAGCAGATATTTGATGTGTTTTTGTTCCTTGCCCCAAACTAGCTATTTGACATTAGTCTGTAAAAATCCTCCAACAAGTAGCTGTAGAAAAAAGTTTGGTGAACATGAACTGTTTAGTCCAGAAGAGTATTCCTATAAAATTCTGATCTATCTTTTAACTTTCAAATGTTTCCTTCTTCTCTTTTCAAGATGTCCTCAGCCAGATGGAGACCACACCCTCCCTGACCCCTAGCAATGAGCTCATCAGCTCCACCCCAACAACAGTTGCAGGGCCTGGGGTCGCAGGGGGTGACCAGCTGCCCAACTTGGACCTCAGCTCTCTTTTCTCTGCTGTGCCTGGAAGCGCTGCACCCACCACCGGCATTGGAGTGGGAGTTCCTGTAAGTGGGAGCAGCTCTAATGGCACCTTCACCATGGACCTCTCCCTGGTCAGCTCAGGCATCCTCACCATTGACCCCACCTCGGTGGGCCCCACACTCTGCACTAGCTCCAGCACCATGCTGGCCAAAGCTGTGGACCCTCTGATCCTGGCAGCTAGCACTGACATGTCCTCCCACCACGGTCTGGAAGGAACGGTCGGAGACGTCCTGCCCCCACAGGGTACCCTCAACCTGGATGATGTGCAGACAGTTACCCCAGAGGCCCTAAGCACCCTCACAGCTCTCACCATGCAAAGTGCGGGTGTGTCTGTGGACCCCACTCTGCAGCACTCACTCAGCTCCTCCAGTGCCCTGAGTGTGGAGCCAACAGCCTCCTTAGCCGTGGCCCCTGTCACTGAACTGCTGGCTTCACCCTCAAAGGTGGTGGAGGTAGGCGGGCAGGGGGGTGCGGGGCCGCTACTGGGTTGTGTCGAGGTCCTGGGACCACAGGAGGGAGGGAAGGTCCTCACTCAGTTTGTTTTCCCCGGCACCAGCAGCAGCTTCAGCCCTCAGAAAGAGCAAGAACTCAACGCTGTGTCACCAACCAGCTTCCTGGTGAGCTCTCATTTATTTCTGCCGCACCAGTGTGTCTGTTAGGAGGTCTTTGTGATTTCTACTGCATATGTGGAGGAAGAATATAGTTTTAACATTCCAACATTGAAAAGGAAAATCTGCAACTTGACACCACAAACTAAAGAAACACAATCCCACAACTAAACAGATCATAGCTGCATCAACTTGGTAATATTTGGCCCCACAATGGTCTTTGACCTGGAGTCTGTATCTGGATCCAATATTAAAAGATGGAGATATGTTTAGGGCTTTTGAATATCCACGTTTTGATTAAAATATCCATGGTCTAGGGATGTCCCAAAAAGATATTAATATCGGATATCTGTCCGATATATCGTCCTGCATCTAAAATCTTAGATACAAGCAGTCCATTCCAGACTCCGCTCCAGCACTTATATCCAGCAGTGTCCAAATCCAGCATGAGGAGTTCATGTAATCACAACAACAGTGTGTACTGAGGTACTAACAAAGTAGCAAGGAGTAGGATTGATGTTGGCGATGTAGCAGTATTTTTTAAGTCCAAAAAAGACGCTGCAGCTGAGTGCAACACTTGTCATGCACAATTTTGTGCCAATATTCGATCGATATCAGTATCGGTCAACGGGGCTACAATGTCAATATCGTATCTGAGGTTAAAAAGTTGTATCAGGACACCCCTACTATGGTTATCTTTCCAAGTATAACCAAAAAGCCTATATTGATGAAAAAAGGAACAAAAAAAGATCAACTCACTCAGAGTTCCGCTCATCCTAACGCTGGCTGAACTTGCGGCCGCTGCCCGACCATAACATCAACACATTGACTATTTTTAAAAATCACACCTGAAAAGACACCTGTTTAAACAATCATATTCACTCTGACTGTCACTCTGCAGATCTCCCCTCCTTTTTAAAACTGTTATATCTTTTCTCTTTTTTACAATGTCCTTGGGTGTTTTGAAAGGGCCCTTTAAAAAATGTAGTATTACTATTATTGTTGTTGTTCTCATCTACACTCAGAACCTAAAGCTCTGAGTGAAGAGAGAACTGCCACAGTAGATGGAGTGAAACTGAAAAATGAGCGGCAACTTCCTGATTGTGTCACAGTTTCTGGTTGTGTCACAGCGCTCATGCTTTAAAGAAGATCTACAAACCTCCACATCTCTACCCAAACATGCAGGAAGGTGCAGGACTTGGTTCACTTTCAGCTGAAGTGTGGTTTCCTCCCTGCTGTATCTCTTGTCTCCACCCTCTGTCACCCACACAACACCGCTCACTCTCCTTAGAGACACACTCATAACTAACAGACATGTGTTTCCTAATGATGGGGAACTCCACAGCACTGCACAATGATTGCTAACATCAGATCACCAAGGTAGTGAGAAAATTTGACAATATGACAGTGAGTAAAAAAATCACAGAATTTCATTAGGGCCACGGGGCAAACGCGCTGAGGCACTATTGTTTTATGGTGGATTTTTCTCTTATTCCTCCTTTGGACAAATTTTTGATTCACTACTCGTCCTACAACTTGAAGAATTGTTGGACAAATTATATTTTCAAACTTGAGGATTGATTGGATTGGTTTGCTATTACTTTATGGTCCATTTACATGCATTCATGGTACATAAAAATTTTGCACTGAAGTCAATAGGACAAGCAAAAGAAAAGAGCAATTATTGGAGTATTTCAAACTATTACATTTTATCGCAATGCTTCTAGTATTAGTTATTTAAGGTCTTTGAAGAATCGCATTATAAAGTTCACACCCAGTCAATAGCCCCTTTCAAATTTCTCAGAGGGAATTTTTTAAGTTTTTTTGTTGCTGTGGTGTCAAAGCAGGAATCACCAATTTTTTTACTATCAGCATCTTGGCTTTATCTGCCTTGTGTTGACGTATAAAGCTCCGTCTGTCTTGTTAGTAAGCTTTCTGTTCTTCTTTGTATGTCAGGAGAGTGGAGGTTCAGCCAGGACGGACTACAGAGCCATCCAGCTGGCCAAGAAGAAGAAACAAAGAGGTCCCTCTTCCTCCTCAGGTAGGATACACACTGACAGATTTCACACTGTTGCTGATGCCCCTCCTAAGAAACAGAATACTGGATCTCGGTTTTCATCCACAACCCCAGTTCCATTAAAGTTTGGATGCTGTATAAAACTAAAACAGATTCTTGATTTCTTTTCTTTGCATAATTTTTAATCATATTTAAACTAGAATGATTTGCTAACCATCAACGTTGTCAATGAATATAAAAAAGTTTGTGAAGAAAATGGAAGTAAAACAGTTTGGGCAGAACAGAAGTTTGAGCTGAATGCTTTTTCTCTGCCTAACCCAGGGAGTCCAGGATCAGGTCAGAAAAAATCCAAAGGGGTGAAAGCAGCGGCTCCAGCTCTAATGGCCCCCTCTGGGGCTCGTTATGCTGAAGGAGCTGCAACAGCCAATGGAGGGCTGACTCTGCGTGACCCTGTGACTGGTGCACAATACGTTCAGATTCAGCTGCTGCAGGTAAGATCCCCAGACATCTAATAGTGTTATGATTAACTTGACCATGTGCTCATAAGATGTAACTTGAGCACAATATAATCTGTTAGAATTAGGGATGTGCCGATATACGATCTAATCGCGATATGCGATATTAAACGGCCGCGATGATGAAATCGTAAGGTACTGTAATAATCGTTCCACAATTATAATTCAAAGACGAGTGGCAGCGAAGCCGAGTACTTAACAACCTAACCCACTTGTAGTCTTACCCACGGTGTCAAAGCCTCGGTAGCAAAATGTACAAACAAACCACCACAAAAGTAGTCCCAAATCCAAAACAACTCTGGAATTAAGTACATTAATGCCAGCCTAACAAAAACGGGAATATTAAAAGAGAAATGAAGACATTTTACAACAAAATGCGTGGCCACCCACAATGCATTGCAGCCACCCAAAGCAGTATTGGAGCGTGTCCACAATGCATTCCCATCTGCTCATTAGCTTCTTAAAGTGGAGGAGATATGATCTGATATTTTAAAAACACGAGGATTGGATCATGACAACATGTCAAATGGAGCAGCAAACTTTCGTTCTGTTTTTATGTGTCCCAAAAATGCACATATAGAGATGTACTTGGGTACATAAACTGTACAGTAAGCTGTCAAGGTAGAGAACATTATATTTTCGGGACAGCAAATATTCCGAACAGAGGGCTGTTGTTTTCGGCTTATCTGAATAGTCTGAATGAAATCATTAAAGGCACACGCTTTTGAATCCACCCAACGGTCAGGAAAACTTGGATTATTTTGCCTTGTTATGTTCTTTCAACCGCGCTCCCGTCAGGGGTGCATTCTACGGCAGGGGTGCATTCTACGGCATAACACCGGACCAAGAACAGCCGGAGACTGAGAATGACGAAACGCCTCGGCTGTATCCTCCTATTAAAAAGGTTTCGTCTGCAGTATGGAAGTTTTACCGCTTCACAAAACAGACAGTGCAGGTAAACCTGACACCAATCTGCAGGTTATGCCGTAAGGAAGTTGCACCGTTGTCTAACACTACAAACCTACGTGCCCACCTCCATGAACACCATCCAGCATCGTTCGCCCAAATCAAGGTAAAAACAACATGATCACAAGAAGTTTGGTCTACTCTACTGCTTATTATTGACAACGTTAGTGACGTTTCTGCTAACTTTGGCTCCCAACGTCGCGTTAGCTGCCTCTTGCTCATATTGTTTGTGCGTGTCATGCTGTGCACAGAGAAGTGATTTCGCAGTTTTTTGCCATTTTTAATAACGTTAAAAGCAACGCGCTAATATCGTGATAATATCGTGAATCGTGATATTTTGGGGCCACCAATATCGTGATATCAAATTTTTCATATCAGCACATGCCTAGGTAGAATCAATAAATATCTAGTGACGGGTGCTGACAGCGTTCAGCAGCAGCAGAATTGTTTGCGATTTTGTTGACAGATGTTATGATCAAATTGTGTGTACATGCAGGATGACCCAGCCAGTGATGGTGACCTGGCATTTCAGCTGAGCTCTCAACCCTCCAGCTCCCACTCTCAGCTCACTGCTGACCTGCCTGTCAACATTTTACAGGTGAGAAAAGTTCTCCTTTGTTGTTTCTGATGTTTTTCTTTATTATATATTTTTATTTTTATTGAACCTTAATTTAACCAGGTAAAATCCAATCGAGATCATGATCTCATTTACAAGGACGACCTTGCCAAGAGGTCAGCAGCACACGTTGTAATAAATGCAATAAATGTAAGGGAACCAACAACAAATTCTGGGTTAAAGTGCAACACAGACTTTGGGATAATTACAATTGAAAACACAGGCATTGTTCATAGGATTCTTGTTGCTTAGCGAATAAAATGGAACAAAAGTCTTTAAATGAAACCTGTTCTGGCATTGTCAGCTCTCCCACTGAGCATTTTTTGGTCTAAAAGAGGTCTAATAGACGTCTAAATGTAGCCTAGATTACTGGTTTAAAATCAGGCTACCACAGGTCTAAAAATGAATGATTTTTAGACGTCTAAATTTAGACTAAGTTTAGACTGCCGGCTAACAGAGGTCTACGCTGTATATTGCTCAATGGCTAGCATAATTATTTTGGTTAAGTACTTGTAGATCAGTTATGCAACTCACAGTTGCTTTTTGAAATAAATAGTTAGCGCATAATGGGTTAAAGTGCAACGTCTAAATTCCGTCTAAAAATATAGAGAATCTAGACGGTTGAAATTAGGTCTAAAAAAAAAAACTAGACGTCTAATAGCCGTCCGTTGCTCAGTGGGTTGTTTGTATGGTGTTCCAGGCTGTGGGGGCAGCATAACGAAAAGCCTGTTTCCCCAAATCAGTTCGGACTTATTGACAGTGTCTGCAGCAGTCAGCCAGCATATTTATTTAAACCGTCTACAGCTGTGTCTTAACTTTCAGTAAAAATATATTTCAAGCAAAGATGTTCAAACCTGAACTCTGAGTGAATGTAGGGTGAGGACGATGTCTACATGTTGTTCAGTTCATCCTTGTACTGAATGTGTGGCTTGTTTCCTCACAGGAACCTTCAGTGATGAACGAGGACGACAATGGCTCGGACAACTCTCAGTTCACAGGAAGCACAATTAACCTTCAGGACCTGGAATGAGTAGGACATAACTGCAGATGGAGGTCTGCTGCCATGATGGACCACACTGGCACCTTGAGACCCTCCAAGGTTTACACCAACAACTCAAAGATATTCAGCCCCATCAAACAGTTGCCTCTTTCCCAGGACTTTCAAAGCCTTTTTAAGATAAGATAAGAAGAACTTTATTCATCCCTGAGGGGAAATTTTAGACTTGAGGATAATTCAGTTTAGGGGATGTGGATGTGAGTCCACAGATACAGCACCTTGAAAGAGGAGATCATGAGAATTTGTCCGGAGGATTATTGTGTGTTTCTGACTGAAATCCAGTTTGTACCAAAATCAGACCTGAGAGCATTCTCATGTCAAAGTCACATGAGACTTTAGTTCCTCTGTGGGGTTTGACTGAATGGTGTCTATTCCCTGGTGCCACAATGCGGATCATGCACACGGTGCGCTGTCTATGCTCCAGTTGCCTTACAGACACCTCATGCTGTGTATTCCTCCACCGGTGAGAAACCCGCTTCAGTTGTTTTTATGTTTTGTTCTTCTGATTTCTAATCTCGTGTTAGATTTATTTTTCTATGGCAGCAGTGAGTCTTTATTGAGGACAGCAGTAACGACTCACTACCTTATCGTAATAATTATCTGTTTCTTATTTATTGTTTAGCGATGCGTTTACAGAATGGCAGAGCCAAACACAGATGAATAAAAGAATCAAAGCACAATCAGAGCTGTTTGTGTAGAAGCCTTTTTTTGTCATTTGAACTGGATACAACTGTACGAGGGTCTATAATCCAGCACTGTTTCATATGCAAGAGAGTTTGATATTACGCAGCAAAGCTCCACCTACTGTTGGTGTCATAGTGAAGAAGATCCTGGATGATTTATCTTGACCAATCCTTCTAGTTTCAGTGACAAAGATAATGTTACAGTTGTCAAAGATGTGCAGATAAAACCCCAACTAAAAGAGAGCTTTGTCGGATCAAATCAGACAATGGACAATAGTCTTTTTAACAGACTAACTTTAAAAAGCAGTTTCTCAGATGTGGGTTTTTTCAGTCTCCAGAGTTCTTATGTTAAACCAGAGGTTGGTGCCCTCTGTACTTGATATTCGAATGTTTTCGGTGGCGGTGGAAAATCTGAATGCAAATTGTAGTACCTTGTTATCCTTGATGGCAGGTTAGTGGCAGTGAGAAGAACCTGCAGCCACACGGCCCTTTGTGGAATAGTTTGGACATGCCTGATGGTGTAGAAATGTAGAAATTTGTCAACAATCTTTGAGAGAAATAGGTCTTTTGTGTCCATAGAAAAGGTCTTAGATCTTTGAGTTTAGCTCATGAAAAATGGGAGCAAAAACAAAAGTGTTGCGTTTACATTTTTGTTCAGTATAAATTATTGTTGTCCGAGATAAATCTCAGGGAGCCCTACTGACTCAATGCAGAACTTCAAATCGATAAAATTTTGCTGCTGTGCAGTTCTTTTTTCAACCAACAGATGGTTCCCAAGTCATGTTGGATCGTTCCTATCACTACCAACAAACAATAAGCCAATCTAGAGTTGTTACATAAGCATAAACAGGCTCTCAAGTTCAGCAAATATGATTGGTCAGTTGTTGGTCAATAAATCTTAAATAGTCTGGCATTCATCATTTTGAGCTTCTGACCCTATTAAACACGCCTGATAACAACGGCTGGCTAAGAGTTCTGCTCACAGATGCACACCCACGCTCCGACACACAGGCTTATCATTAACTGCTGCTGGATTAGAATGTGTTGTTGGACCTGAATGCAGCTTAAATCTGATTGAAGATCAGCGTCACGGCTTGAGTTGGACCCAAAGGTCAGAAAAACAAGAGAAAGAGGGCCAGCTGAGAGGGAGGATGGTGTAAAACAAACTAACTGCAGCCTAGTGTACATGTACATACTTCATATTCTGTAATATCCAAGTGTTGCTCAAACCAGTGCTCATGCAGTGTGATCATCCACGATTTAACATGCACACCGTTCACGGCCACATTATTGTGCAACAAGACAAACACCTTGAAACTGTAGATTTACATGCTGTCTGTTCCTTGTGTTCAGTTCAGTTATTTCAGTTTTTGGGCCGAGTAGCAAAACAAATCAATAAAATTTGACATTGAGGGCAGTGCCTCTGGATTGGCAGACAGGGGTGGCAGTCCCCCTTTTTAAGAAGCGGGACCGGAGGGTGTGTTCCAACTATAGGGGGTGTCACTCTACTTAGCCCCACTGGTAAGGTCTATTTAGGGGTCCTAGAGAAGAGGGTCCTTCAGATTGTCAAACCTCAGATTCAGAAGGAACAATGTGGTTTTTGTCCTGGTCCTGGAATTGTGGACCAGTTCTACATCCTCAGCAGGATCCTTGAGGGTGCATGGGAATTTGCCCAACAAGTCCACATGTGCTTTGTGAACTCGGAAACGATTTAACCATGTCCCCTGGGAAGCCCTGTGGGGGGTGCTCCATATGGGGTAGCATGGGGTATCAGACACTCTGATAAGGACTGTTCATTCCCCATACGACTGGTGCCATAGTTTGGTCTGCATAGTCAGTAGGACTCATTTCCAGTGAGAGTTGGACTCCACCAGAGCTACCCTTTGTCACTCATTCTGTTCATAACTTTAAATGGCAGAATTTCTAGGTGCAGCTAGTTCAGGTTCGGTCGCCTGAGGATTGAGTCACTGCTTTTTGCAGATGACGTAGTCCTGTTGGCTACATCAGGCTGTGACCTTCAGCTCTGACTGGATCGGTTCGCAACCAAGTGTGAGGCAGCTCGGATGAGAAACAGCACCTCCAAATATGAGTCCATGGTTCTCAGCCAGAAAAGGGTGGAGTGCCCTCTCCAGGTCAGGTATGAGATCCTGCCTCAAGTGGAGGAGTTCAAGTATCTCGGGGTCTTGTTCAGAAGTGAGGGAAGAATGGAACTGGAGATCGACAGGTGGATTGGTGCCACTTCAGCAGTGCTGAAAGGCAAAGCTCTCGACATAGTGGTCGATCTACGCTCCTACCCTCACCTGTGGTCAGGAGCTGTGGGTAGTGACTTAAAGAACAAGATCCTGGGTACAAACGGCCGAAATGAGTTTCCCCCAGAAGATGGTTGGACTCTCCCTTTCAGACAGGGTGAGAAGCTTGGTCATCCAGAAGCAGCTGCCCCCCCTGCATTGAGAGGAGTCCAATGAGGTGGCTTGGGCATCTAATCAGGATGCCTCCTAGACCCCTCACTGGTGAGGTGTTCAGGGCACGCCCTATTGGTAGGAGACCACGGGAAAGACTCAGGACATGCTGCAGAGGACATGCTACTACGAAGTGGCTAGGGGGAGGAAAGTGTGGGCTTCCCTGGGTAAGTGGTAGAGGATGGACAGGTGGAATACTCACATGACTTCTGCTGATGATTCAGTGGGTATGCAGTCCCTTGACGAGCATTTTGTGGACAGAAGTGATGAAGCAGGACTTTCTCTGCAATGACCTGATAGCTAATATGAGGAGCAGTACACACGTAGCCTTGTTGCTAAAATAAGTTTAAAGTAAACCTGTATGTTTAACTTTATCACCTCTCCAGAGATATTTACGGTCATTACACACTTTCAACCAACTGTTGGTCTCATAATGTTTGGAAATCATTGCTCGGTTGCAAATTAGTACAGGCCTTTTCACAGAGGAGCTTTTTGAGTAATCACAGCAGGCAAACCACCGATGCTGTTGATGGTTACTGCACACACATCCTTATATTTATCTGATCACAGAAAAGTCTTCGGCTAATGACACATCCAGTGTCTGTTTTATTGCAACAGACACGTTGCATTGCTCTTTATAAAGTCTGTCTGTACCTCACAGAGGCATTGAGTAATCCTTGACTTTTATTAACCGTTGTTGGTAACTTGCAGAAATTGCAGCAATCCTGAAGTCTGTGTAAGAGCATAAAGAAGCCAGACGTTTGTGCAACACCACCGGCTTGACATTGCAGATTCATAGTTTGGAGTGTGTTTGTGGTGTTTCATTAATCACAATGAGGATTTACACTGAAGCATATGTGTCAGGTGCAGGGTCTATTTTGCACCTGTGAGCTGCCATGGAGTGAGAGCAGAGTTGATTGGGTGTTAGAGGGATATTTAAGAAGTGCAGAGCAAACTGTTACACATCATTAACTTGGCTCCACTTATTAGTAATGAGCTCACGACCATGCCTGGAGAGATTTATTTGGTTCAAAGACTCAGTTCACATCTGCTAGTAACATCGCACCGACTCACGTCATGGTAACACAATCACTCCTCGAGAAAGTGAGAGATGCTGAGGGGGAGAAGGAGACAGTGATGTAGAAATGGGGCAAAGGGCGCAGGACTAATCCTCTAGACAGCATCACTCTCATCCCTGCAGACCAAGCCTGTAATCTGTGTGCTGGATGGAGACACCCCACAGAGACTGTCTCTGGCTTTTGGCTCCAGCTGTTTGATGGCTGGATTGAGAGGTCAAGTGAGATCAAATGTGCTGCTCGGTCTGTTGTACAACAGAGTTGGCCTAATAAAGATGCAGTTACAGTAATCCTTTCTGTAAAAGCCCCCTGCAGAACCTGGGCAAGCCTTTTACCCTCTATTTGTCTGGAGATAATGTGGGTTTGAGGGAAAGGAAAAGAGGGAATAAGGGAGTCAACCCTTCCTGCCACTCATTCCCCTTTATTGCTTGTGTTTTGTTCTGGTTGCTCCCTGATTTTCACATCAGTGATATAGTTAAACATGTTCATATCATGCTATTTTGAGTTTCATGTTAATATTCAGAGATCACATTGACCCTTAGGAGTCAACTGTGAAAAAGCACTCTGTATGTATTCATTTCATCCCCTCACCCATCCTTTCACCCTTAATCCCTGCATTGCTGCTCTTACGCTTGTTGTTTTGTGAGTGCAGATTTAGCTCATCATGTTAATTAGTAAGCCTTTCAAGTTTCAGTCGGAGCTGGGCTAAACATTCCCTTTTCCAGTCAGTGTACCCTGTGTACCCATGAAACTGTGGTTCTGCAACAAGCATTATACCTTTGGTCTGTCAAGTTAAGTGTTCTAAAATTATGTAGTATGCATGTTTCACAATGCAAAGTATGATTGTACATCAGTCAATGCGTTCTATTGACATATATGTCCTGAATCAGGCATATGCCTATAAGTATCCATCTATCCATCTATCCATCTATCCATCCATCCATCCATCCATCCATCCATCTCTTTATATATATATAATTACATATAAATATATATACTTATATACAATTATATATATATATATATATATATATATATATATATATATATATGTATGTATGCATGTGTATATGTGTGTGTTTAAATCTCATTGTTCCCTTTTAATCTGTGCAAATGAAAAGCCTTTACTAGTGATTAATTTATGTTATAAGGGTCACATGAGGCGTGGACATTGAGGTGGTGTCATCGCATAAATATCTAGGTATACATACTGGATAATAAGTTGGACTGGTCTAAGAATATAGACTTCATCTACAGAAAGGGGCAGAGCCGCCTCTTTTGCCTGAGAAGACTCTGATCAGTAGACATCTGTACTAAGATGCTGCAGATGTTTCATCAGTCTGTGGTGTCTACAGTGTTCTGTTCTACGCTGCAGTCTGCTGGGGAGGAAGTTTCGAACACAAAGATTCAAGACGTCTGAACAAACTGGTGAAAAAAGGCTGGCTCTGTGGTTGGACTCAAGCTGGACTAAGTGGAGGATGTGGTGGAGAGATCTACACTGTGGAAGGTGGAGACTGTTCTAAAGAACATGGATCACCCACTTCACAACACTTTGATGGACCAAAGGTAAATAGTAGATAACAAAGATGACATGAGTATACAGACAATTTAATTTCCATTTGGGTGATCAGTGAAGTTCTTATCTTTTTCATTGTACTTCAAAGGTAAAGTCTGAGAACATTCAGTGATATCAACCACAGGACCACTCTCTTCTTTTTCATCCTCTCTTAAATCGTTACATTCCTGTGCATCATTTTCTAGCTTCAGACACAAACATGTCTGACTGTTTTCACCACCACATCTGAACTAAAGGGACACTGCTGCATTCGCCTCAGTCCATGGCTACAGGAAAACACAGGCTACTTTCAGGTAAAGACGGTGCTGTAACTTTCTCACTGTTTCATGTTGTAAAATATTGTTTCCTCTTTGTACCCTTTTTCAGCTTGGTGCAGCCTGACCTTAGGACTGATTTTTATGACTAAATCAGTTGAAAAGTAATCATGATGAATGATTTGTACAACTCTGAACGGTCAAACATCTGTTTTCTTTTCACAGGAAGAGCCTCTCTCAGCCGTGGATCAGTCATCAGTCTCTGTGTCTCTCAGGAAAAGAAGAACAAAAGCCTGCTCGTTGGACCAGATGGACTTTCAATGTAATCACAAAAATAATAATAACAAAGCACAGAGAGTGGAAGTGAAGAATCTGTTTTCAGCTCTTTCCTCTAGCTTTCAAATGTGGTTACAAAAAAATAAAAAGTGTGCCACCTCGTAACCATCACGGATCTCTAGTTCTCAGAATAACAAACACTCTCTGTCCCTCTGTGATCATGTGTCCCTCAGCACCTTCAGGAACAGCTTCATGCTTTTGAAACACTTCCTGTCATGCTCGGCTGGTCTGCCCACATTGTTGCTGAGAGAGTGAGTTCCTCTAAGCGTGTGAAGAAGTGTTGATACTTCTGTGGGGCCTCTTACTGACCCTCTGGCAGCGGCTGTAACTGACCTGATGTTGTGCGGTGAACGTGCAACAACCGTGGCTAACAGAGAGACAGACAGAGAGATGGAGGATTAAATTAGAGGCAGAGATTTAAAGGTCTCATATTATGAAAAATTCACTGTAGAATGGTTTTCTAACAATAACATGCATCCCAGCCTGTCTACCCCTCTCCCTCTCTTGCTTGTTCCTTTCAGAAAATGTCTGCTCAAACGGTGGATTGAAGCTCCACGACATAATGGACGGCGATAACTCCTCCCCTCCAGGTTGGCGACCCTGCCCAAGATGTTGGTTCTGACCCCCGAAAATTTTCACTCAGACACTATTTTCTCGCAAAATAGCGAAGGTACAAGCAAGGCACAGCAGCTGCTCTGTTGTTGGCTGCATGAAGCAGCACAGAAATCTGTTTCAATAGACTGCAAGAACATCGTCACGAGAGAAAACTATACTTACGATACTGCACATTCACCAGAAGAGCTCCAAGTAACGAGAAGACAGCAGAGATGTAACCGTTAGCAGGAGCTAATGTTAGCTAGCTACATGTAAGTCACTGTGTACAAACACATGAAAAAAGTAAAAAGAAAAATATCCAGACACATAATGTTTGTAACTAACCATTCAGAAACGTCCTGCTGCAGACACAGAGTTGGAATTTCTTCAGGAGCCTCTCCTTCTGGGTCAGACTCTGGATCAAACAGGTACGGCTGGACCACAGGATTATCTCTTTTCGCAAAGCATGATTGGTTCTTGCAGACAAATAATTGACAAGAATTGCAGAATTGATTCTTTCTACTGTCCATGCCTATTGGGCGAATTAGATCGCCTTTAAACTAGAATTATTATTTTCTTCAGAGTTGTTTGGTTTTCACTTCAACATCATGGAGGAGAAAATGGTTTTAAAGGTTGATGTTTGGGGTTTGAATGAAGTCAAACTTTTGCAGCCTGATCTTTATCTATGCCCGAGACTAACATTTTGATATCATAGGTAACGTATGAAGCAGCGAGTATCAACATGAGGAATTAACAACATCAAAAACCCAGTAAAAATGTTCTTTTAATTCCTTGAAAGTAAACTGTCCATCATGACTGCTCTAGGTGCATTTGGTTTGAAAACAGCCTCAAAGTTGCCTATGCATTGATAAAACCTTTGAATTCTCTCTCTGGTACTGTTTGGAACCAGAAACACATGTGGAAACACATGAAAACATACACCCAAAGCGGGACTCCTATGGGATGAAACAGAAGAAATCGTTCTCAGAAGGTCCAAGAAGACAGTGCTCACTGGAACCCTTGCATGACTTGCTGCATGAACAGCTGCTGTTCATCATTTATCAGCTCCAACTTGAATAACACAATAGGCTCAGACAATACACCATTCTTTCTTGTGCACAAACAAGCAGAGAGTGGGAACTAGGGATATAACTAGGAGTGAAATAGCTTTCCCAGTGAGAATTCAGGCAGAGTTTTGTGGGGTAACTTGGAAACTGCTTAGAACAGCATCATTCACTCCTGTGTAGGTAAGGTGTAGAGTCAATGCTCAGGCTTTACCTCACAGCTTAATGTAAAACACTGACAACACTTATACAGTAGATTTGAGTTAGATTGAGTTGTTGAGTTGAGTTCGATAGACTCGCCTGTACGAACAAGCGGCTACTGGCAGAGAGTGGATGAGTTTTGTTTGGTCTCTTTGCTAAAGAAACCAGGAAAAGCTAAAAAGATGTTTGGTGGCTTGTACTATGGCTGGGACCCTATATGTACTGTTGATGAAGTTAGGTGCTGTTCTGAGCATTATTTGTGGCTACAGAGCGACTTTTTCGTTGAGCGTGTGGCTCTCTGTATTGCTATCGTGCAGTCATTACTAAAGTTGGTATAACTAGAGAAGCAAGCAGTCGTCAACATTCATCTCTCAACAGGGTGTCTAACTCGGTGTTAAGGTGTGTTTGACCCTAACTTAGTTTTACACCAGATTATCCCTTTAAGCAGAAGTGTTGTTGGGCAGTGTCCAAAGATTACTGAGTACTGGTTTGTTTAGAACATAAAATCTGAAGCATCAGTAGTAGGTAGAGAACTCTCCTACACAGATCTGTTTGCACCCTTTTGAGTAACATTAGGTAGCAGCTGTAAAAGTGCATCCCTCTGAGGACGAGAACATGTCAAGTGCCTCTCTCCTGAATCCAAACGACCCACTTCTGTGCAGTCCTCTGTGATTATTTTGGATAATAACACTAAACTACTCTGCCTCATTCCTTCTTTCAGGCTTCCCACATGTTTTTCCACGCAGCAGAGCCTCTGACTCACAAACCAGAAGACCCGCCTCCATCCCCCATCGTGGACAGCCAATGAGGCCTCAGAGCGGGGACGAGCCTTCAGAGGCAGCCTCTAATTTCCCCACTACAGTAACCGTGTAACGCACACTGGCAGTCATGTGACAGTCATATAGTACAACTCGGGCAGGGCTCAGTCAGTCCAGTGTGAACGGTGCTGCGGCTGCTGCAACTGCTGCTGCATGGCGAGCCCCAAGGGCAGAACCCGCGCTGGCTTCAGACTGCCCCGTCGAAATTGAAGGATAATAACAGACCTCCTCGCGCTCTTTGCTTTGGGAGTATATTTGATCATCTTTGAAGGTAAGATCGGAGGTTTGTTTCATGTATGGGTGCGCTCAGGGGCTGCAGGGAGCGCGTGTTTTCCTGTGCCATATGCTGCTGCAGCAGGCTGGACGAAAACATGTTTACGTTGAGAGCGGAGACGCGCGTGTACTCATGCGTTATGCAGCACGAGGGGGACTGACTGAAAAAACACAGTCTACTGCCCCACGTTATAGAATAGGATGTGATTTTTATTTTCTTTTTGTGTGAAGTGGTCACATTTTTTTTCTGCTTAAGTTTTTAGAGCAGGAGCCAATGAATGAATTTTGGTCTCGTGATTGAAGCAGCATGTGTGACGGGATTTTCGAAGTTCTCGGACCCACGCTGTCTGAAAATCCCACAGTCTGGAACAATTTATGACTATTATGTGGACGATTTTCCACGCAAAACGGTGGCAACCTATGGTTATCAAATGCTGCCTTCTGCCTAAAGTCTAGATGTTATGTAAGAATCTGAAGAGTTAATGTTTTTTTCTCTTGATGATCACATAAAATGAATAGAAATGTGCTCTCGAGAGGTCATACAATGCAGTGCACCAGCCTGTATATGCTAAAAAATTAAACCCGGTGACTCAAAGTCAAACTCTTCGTCCTCCCATCTTCAGAGGTTCTGCTCTGACTGATTTATTGCGCTTTAATTGTCCCGTAAACAACAGCAGGGCAGGTGGTTTACACATGCTGCTCCAGGCTGCCCCATGCGGTGCTTTGAGGTAATAATGTTGACAGTTTTATTTTTTTCTCTGGGCCCTGCACGGGTTTACTCTCGGTCACTCAGACCAGGCAGGGGCCCCTTGAAAGGGAGGACGGATATGGGGGGTTAGTGACGCTCCCTGTTCCAGGAAAATAACCTTTTCATGAAGTGTGTACACTATAGTAGGACATTATGAAACAAAAGTGATAATAAGTGGAACTGATACAGATATTGAAAAATGTAAAATGATTAGACAATAAGTAAATCAGAAGATGTAAACAATGACAACAAATCATTTTTATATCAACAAAATCTATCCGAGAATGATCAAAACTTATCATTGAATTATTAATTTCTGGTCACAGTTTAACATTTGCTGATTTACAGACAAAATCCAACCAGGATTTCCACTCTTCTCACAAAACACGCACGGCTTCTACTAAATTATCTTTAAACTTTTGGCTAACCTGCTGATTATTCTGGTTTATAAATATCAAAAATACATGATATCTTGTGGACAGTTATTGGTTGCAAAGACGATATCTATCACTTTTTCAATTCTCTAAATAGTTGAATTATGATATTTGTTAGATACATCAGTCACCTTGTTTAACTGCTGCACCAGAGTTTCCAACAGTCTTATGATACAGAGTTATCTAATAAATATTCCTTTGGCATTCATATCAGTCATGCTCTATATCCCTTCACAGGACCAGATGTATTTTTGTATTTCATTAATTAATCAAAAATCCATAAAATCATGTTCCTGACTGAAATAATCATGTTCGTTAGACTCTCTTGTGTATGGGAAAAAAGGAGTCATAAATAGATTTGATTATCTTGTATTGTTCCCGGCTTCAGTGGTTACAGATGGAAGGTAAGAAACCCAGAAGTCCCACGCTGCAGTATTTTACAGAGCCAACACCAAAGAGGGCCAATAATGAAAAAATGAATAAATAAACATGAAAAATGATTGTTTAGTGGTTGTATTTGATCAAATAATAAAAACAGCATTGTAACGCGGTCATTGGCTGACTTCCTTTAAATTATTAGCATCTGCTTGATAATGGTGAACCGCTGTACAGCAGGAAATGTTCTAGAAGGGAATGAAACAGCTTCATGGTAATGAGGGCAAAAGAGAAGGAGGAGTTTTAGCACAAAACTGGTGAGAAATGAACATGGTACAAATAAATAGAATCTACTCAATGTAATGAAGCATTGTAACATTTTGAGCTGGCCCTATAGATGATGAGTTTGAAGTTTTGACTTTAATATCTTGTCAGTCATACATGCATATGTCCATCTAGCACAGACTCATCATCAGTATAAAAAGTCCAGAACCAGTGAGAACTGAAGGTCCGCTCATGATTATGGAACAGTAGATAAAGTGAAAACTCTCGACTGCTGATATTTCAGGCTTTTGAAAAGTTTCTCCAAGAAACAATAACTCTCTTTGGTCATCATACAGTTTGGACTGAGCAAAGGGGGATTGGACCACTGACCAACCTTGATAGCCAGAGGACTAATACCAGCTCCTGATGTGCATCAGAGGGTTTTTAGCTTCTGGTTTAACAAGCTTAAATATAATTCAGTGCATCGAACAGTGTTCGGTCTGCAGATATGTCCTTAGTTATGATAGACAGTTGGACATAGGTGAAAAGTGAATCTGGTCTTCTTGTTTGAGGTGTTTTTCTCTCAAGTTTACCTGTTTTTTTGTTTTGTTTTTATTTATTTATGTTTTAAAAAGTCATTTTTAAGACATTTAGAGAGAAACTATAGAGGGAATCACCTTGTTGCAGACTTCAGGAGCCATAGTTAGCATATATCTCTTCACTGTGCCTTTTTACTGGTATTGTGACCCGGCTGCTCCACCATTCCAGCTGCAACTCTAAAAGTATCCTGCCATATTGCACAAAATGAATGTGGTTGTAGGCGTTTTTTGGTCGACATTTAGTCTCTTCATTCACTGATTTTAACACTGGCTTCTGTCTTTCTGAATTTTGACATGCAAATTTGAGGTTAAGTCTCTGACGCTCTTCTCCTCTGTGTTTATTTCTCTTTAGACAAATCATATCCTGGCAGGAGACCTTGGATTGTAGGAGTATTTTCCCTACGCTCACTTTTTCCACCCTGAGGGAACACAGCAGGTGTTACTCTATCTTAACCACATGGGAAGTTTGGCCCCGATGACCTTGGTTAGTTTGGCTCAACTTTCTCTGCAGCATAAGGAAAAGTTCTCTAACAAATCATCCTGAACACAGACTCCGAGTCCAACAAGAGACAGCAGTTTGGCACTCTCCAGGGATGGTAGATAATTCCCCGATAAGCGAGGGGACTTTTCTTCCTTACAGTAGCTCTCCGTTGTCAGACATGGTGACAGATCTGGGCTCCTACCAGGTGATGCCGTCACCTTTTTCTGAGGACGACATGAGCGAGTCGTCCAGCCCTCGTTCCTGTTCCAGCCCGGACTCCCAGGTACTAAGCTCCAGCTATGAAAGTAACTCAAGTGTTGAGAGTCAGGACAGCATCCTGGATCAGCTGCTTTCCCAGGCTTCATTAGGAGGTGCCAACAATGTGCCTGCAGGATCTGGGGCACCCATACCATTATCCACTTTCCTTTGGGACTCGCGGAGAGATGAGCCTCCAAAACGTGAGTCCATAAAGGTGGGGAATCTTGACTTCCTTGACTGGTCCAATGTGGAGACAGAGGAACAACTTGGAGGGTCTTTCCAGCCCACACTGGAAGAGATTGAAGAATTCTTGGAGGAAAATATGGAGGTAGTAACGATGAAGCAAGAGATCAGGGAAAGTTGCCCAGGTATGGGAATGGGACTGGAGGAAGCTCTTGGTCTAGAAGTGGGCCTCAAGTGGTGCAGAGAGCCTTCTCCGGAGCTTAAACTGGAGGAAGAGGTCAAGAACTCAGACCAAACTGTCCCCACTGCCACTAGCCCGGCAGCTGTTGCCACCTCTGAGACCAAAACAACACCAGTTAACCCTGCAAATGAGTCCAGCACAGATGCAAAGAAGGCATCAGGAAACAAATCATCAGCAGAAGATGGCACAAACAGCAGTGGGATGCCGGTAATTTTACAGATCCAGCCTCTCCAAATCAAGCAGGAGCCTGTAGTGGCACCTCTTACTCCAGTGGCCCAGACCCCACAGCCTGCCCCGGCCTCAGACATCAAAATTGCGCAGCTACTGGTCAACATCCAAGGTCAGACCTTTGCCCTGGTGCCCCACATTGTACCCTCCCCTAACCTGAACATCTCTTCCAAGTTCGTACGCATTGCTCCAGTCCCCATTGCAGCCAAGCCTTTGGGACTTGGAGATGGTTCAGCTGGCCAGGGAACTGGTATTCTTCTCGGGGGTCAAAAGTTCCCCAAGAACCCAGTGGCGGATCTTATAAAAATGCACAAATGTAGTTTTCCCGGCTGTACCAAGATGTACACCAAGAGCAGCCACCTGAAGGCGCACCTGAGGAGGCATACGGGGGAGAAACCTTTTGCCTGCAACTGGCAGGGCTGTGGATGGAGGTGGGTACTGCTGTCTGAAGGACGTGAGTCAAAGTATTTCTGCATACCCCTTTTGTTTATGTGCCTCATTTGTAAGCAGCAGTAATTATAAGTCAGTGGGGCATGCCTGTGTGCTGCACATGGTATCACATGCCTCAACGGACACAAACGTAGTGCAGATTTTAAGTGACACATGAAGTTACCTGTCGCCTTTAAGGTTGGGCATTAGCACTGGTAAAGGAGACTTAGGGGGCATTAAGGGCCGGATCACATCTTACCCCAAATCTCAAAGCAGCTCAGTGTGAAAGACGCAGTTTTACTACATGTATTGACTTATTTGTTCCAACACTATTTTTGTAATTGCAGTTAGAATTTGCAGTTGAGTGTATTTTTAATCTCTCTTTTTAAAAATTCCATGATATTACATTTTTAGAAAAAGCTCTAAAGTCAGTATTAAGAACGTAATCGAATTCATACACTGGAATGCAGTTTACAATCTTTAGATTTATTATTCAAATAAAAGCTTTGAAACCAAGACTTACAGATAGGGGACACCTTCAGAGTGCTTCTTCTGAGAAATTCAGTTTATTTTTTATCGATAAAACTGTTATACATTAATAAATATACAAAGTGCATGCACAAGATTGCCAATCATCGTCGCTATAATGTGCAAACTAGAAAAGCACTCGGAGAGCGCAGACCTCCGCCAAGCAGCTCATGTCCCCCCTTCTATTGTGATTCACACCAAAACTTTTACTGTTACGTGTCTCTTATTAACGTTTATTTGTGTTTAAACTGGTATGTTCACTTTTCATAATGTTCCTAAAACAACAAAGCTCAGATTAGATACATAAATGCATGATTTATTATGCAATATTTGTAAGCGTACACTTCCTTGTATCTTCATTGGTTATCTTTCAGCATTGAAAATTCCAACGACGCCCTTATTTTTGTGTGTTCTGGATCACAGTATCCGGAATTTTGTGTGGATCAGGATCAACCTTTGACACCTCATAAAACTCATTGAGATCCTTTTGTGTAATTTTTTACTAAAGACTCATTTTTATAGAGTTAAATGCAAAAATTCCTAAATTTGCCCTATCTCACAATGATAAAGAATCCTTCAAAAAATTCCTGGGTCCAGAAGGCGATCCGGATCACCACCAAAATGTAATGGGATCCTCCTGGGGCTGAGACGCACCTCTGGTGAAAATTTCAGGTCAATCTGTCTGTTACTTTCTCCGTAAAGTTGGTAACAGACAAACAAACAAACAAACCAACGCTACTGAAAACATAACCTCCTTGGCGGAGGTAATTATGCTGGGATAACTTATGTTACTCACTGACATCCAGCAATTCCTTAATGCAATAGCGTTCACCCTTTTCAGGAGTTCCAGTTGTTTTCTGGTACCTTCAGGTTCTCTCTGCCTGAAACCATTGTTTCCTTTGACTGTAAGGCATCATGACAGGTTACAACATGCCAACCAGCCAATCAGATCTGAGCTGTAGCCATACGCACACTTTACCACAGTGCTCTGCTAGCTTTTGTAACGCAGTCACATGCTAACAACAGTCTGATCTGCTGCACCATAAGTCAGGTAGTTACTCAAAGTACAGTGGAGATACTTTGATTCAGTTTGACACAAAGGGCATGGTGCTGTCTGATCGTTTTTTAAGGTGGAATGCGCAGTGGGGTCGATGTTTTTCATCAAGAGGACTAACAGATTCGTGGGCTCTGGCAGCACAGAGACCAACACTGATGTTTAAATCAGACTCATGGAAAAGCAGAGAGGACATGTGAGTGTTTTCTTTTCACTGAGCTCTGAAGCTGAGGAGCCTCTCAGGTGTTAATAGGAGTGGTGTTAGGCAGCGGCGCTCGAGGCGGATTTGCTCGCCTCTTGTTAGCCAGTGAGATATCTGGGATGTACAAGAATAGTCGGGGTGTCTATTTGGTAGATGTAAACTGAATCTGGGACAGAACACGTGGGCTCCAGTCACATTGGTACAATGTGGGCACCTCCTGTTGTGACTCGACAGTTGTGTGGTTGCTGGGCCGGTATGAGAGTGTGTGTTTTTGTGCATGCTAAGTATAAAGATCTAATTTAGAACCTGCTGTGTGAAATGGAGAAAGCAGAGAGGGAATGTAGATGTCTTCATTAGTGCGGCAATATTCATTCACATTAACAGAGAGTGTTTTTTCTACATTCATGTGTCTGTGTGTGTCTGTTTGTGTGTGTGTTTATGTCCCAGTTGCTAGGATTGAGCTGGCTGTTTTCCTGGACAAATCAGGTCAGCCAATGAGACTGGCTTAAACTGATAAAATGACTTCACTAATGAACCTCTTCAGCTTCTTCGGTTCTGAACTTTACGGGTCTCAAACTGAACAATTACACAGACCATCCATACACCACCTGCTTTAGTCCCCACACCTATGATGTTGCATACCACAATTCTATTTCCCTTAATGTTATTAAAAGATCCTCTCTGTGAAACAACTTGCGCTGAAAAGTCTAAGAAAATGTAAATTAGCTGCCCTAGGAAGGAGAGTGGTCCCTTCTTCCTGGCCTGAAGTGATTGACTCCTACTATCATCGGTCTCTGAGGTGCATTGGGGCCAAGGACCAGGCCAAAAGACAAGGTCTCCAGGCTGTTTGGAGCATCATTTTCCGTTGTGTAGGCAAAGAAAGTTCGCCACAAGGTCATAATTTTCAGCCTCTCTGAGATACCGAGCACATGCAGGTCGTGGCACCTGCACCTTGACTTGAGGTCCAAAGTTTTAGCCATTCGCAACTTGTTGCACTTCTGTTGTGTTTCACATTTAGCCTTGAGTGCGGTTAGTCTATCATCACAGGCTTGTAATGAGGCCTCAGCTGCAGTGAAATATGTGCCAAACAAGTCGACAGTGATTTGTAGAGTGTTCATGGAGAGACAGGTCTCAGCTTAGAAAGATTTACTGTGCTTGGCTATAGCAGAGAGGAAAGAGCTGTCCCCCTTATCATCAAGGTCTCCATGTTTGGGTAATAGTGCCAAGCCTTATAGCCTCATCGCTAGCATTTCGAGCGGATGGGTCATGTGACCATTTGCAGGAGCTGGTAAAGACATGTTTAGCTCGCTGTGATTGTGCCAGACATTTCTATTTCCCCAGCGTATATCGGCATTGAGAAAAGAATTTTCTGAAGTTATATTTTAGCATAATTTTATTTTATTTCTTTTCTTTTTTCTTTTTTATTAAGTGATGGCAAAAAAAAAACAAAGTGAAAGAGATCATGCACACAATGCATCCAAGTGATAGAGACAAAACAAAAAAGAGACAAGCAACGAAGGAACTCATAACATGTCGATATTTTAAGTTGGTAGGTGTTGTAAGGTCGTGTTCTAATGGGTGGGTGGGTGTATTTATGCGTATGTGTGTGTGTGAGTGGGTGGGTGTGCTCGTGTATCATTTTAGTATTATTATAATTATTATTTTATCATCATTATTAAGTTTTTGTCTGATTTTAATGGTGGTTCCAGGTAGTAGAGAAAATCCCGCAAATACGGAGAGTAATTTGGCTTCAAATTCGTATTATGACGGAAGGGGGAGCCAAGTTGTCCATAGTGTATACAGTCTATGGTTTTACTTAATGATCCTTGTTCCTCATTTTAAAGTGGCGGACTGCCTCTATGCCTTCACTAATCAGGGACTGCTTTGATATCTCTGCATCTCTGATTGATTAATGATAAAACACTTACTCTCAGTCAAAATCCTTATGAGGAGTACAGGGGCAAATACAATGAGACACTGGCCCCTAGACAAAAAAGATGCTGTAGACTTGACAGCAGACACACCGAGGCACTGGCCCCTAGACAAACTGTAAACTTAAGAGCAGGCCCTGATACAATGTACTGTGAACTTCTTATTCCTCTTCCAGACAAATTTTGATTTGCTACTAGTCCTACAAGTTGAAGAGTTGTGGGACGAATTATAGATCAAAATGTGCTGCTTGATTGGGATTCATGTGCTGGAGTTGTGAAATAATGCAGAAAAAATTTGCACTTGAAGTCAGCGGGACAAGCCTCAAAAAAGAGCAATTATTAGAGTTTTCAAACGTCAACTGCTCCGGCTCGTTTTTTTTCTGTTATAAGAATAAATACTTACAGACGGAATGTAGGAGTGCTGCTTGTTTAATGCTACGAGTATTAGTTATTTGAAATCTCTGAAGAATCTCATCATAATGTACACACTCTGGAAGTGGCCCTTTCAAAATCTACCAGAGGGAATTTTCTAGTTTTATCTGTACTGTAGATTAGCCAAGTCTCTAATTATCTCTTCTTTCTTAAAAATTAACAACTTTAACCTCCTAAGTTTCCAACTCTTTATCTTAAAAGTTAAAATGATGTGAATTTGATTTTAATCTGATATATACAAGTTTTTTTCTCGTAAAGTTATGACTGGAAGCTTTTTTTGTCGGTCTTCATTCATGTGATATAATGACTTTATTTTTAAGGTTTCAACTGATTTTATAACCTGAGAAAAGATGTTAAAAGGTTAACTTTTCAATGTTTTGATTCTTCAAGTTATTCAGCCCTTGTATCTCACCTTTTGGCCTTGTTGTTTTTTTGTGTTAGAGTTGAAAAGTGTGAGGAGTTACTCTTCCACCCACAAACACCCCCAGTAAGAGTGTTGTATGTTTTTTGTCTGGGAAGTTCTCCCAATTAAACTGTCAGTACTGTAAGTTTGAAACCAAGATATGAATGAATTTTACACAGATTCAGCAGCATGGTTTAGTGTTGTGGTTCTTCTTAGGGAAAGATGACTTTTTCAAAAGAAAGAAGGTTTTAATGAAAAGTTTTGAGAATTAAAAATGGCTACACTGTACGATTGAAAAGTTGTTGTAAAGAGTCGGTAATTATAAAACGATGGGCTGTATTTTACGACAGTTTTAACCATTAGGGACCACTTCCTCTTAACTCTCAGTGCATGTTCAGATCTAAAGCAGCTCGCACTGCCATGCTGTATGTTTGCCTCTCATGTTTCTAGCATGTGTACTTTGATTTACGAATATGGTGAGCTTGCATTTACATGCAGAACGTGTTACTGAAAAACTGACCCAACCAGCCAGCTGTTTTGTAATGTGGTTTCTACTTGTCCCAACTTGCAGGGATTATTCCCGCAAGAGCCTCCGCTTTACCGTGAAGTAGTCAGTCATTTATAAACCCTTGTTTTTTGTGCAGGTAATAAGTAATCCATAGAGCCCCTTTAAAACTTAGTGGTTGTTCTCTATATCACTGTAGCAGCAATCTGCCATCAGCCAGACTGTACTTACAATAATGTGTGCGCCCCAATATATGAGGGGAGCTGCAGCAGTTTGTGCAGTAGTAACTCAGACTGAGTTCAGACTAACAAAGGGCTCTTGTCTGTACACAAAAGGCAGGATGTAGTTTGTGTCTGTGAGAGCCAGTGAGTGTGTAACCCACTGTACAAAAAGGGGGCCCTCAGAAGGAGAAACAGTGAAAATGTGAGAAAATCAAGGGGAGTAGAGTGAGAAGCAGGACCGGTCTGAGATTTCCTTTTTTTTAGGGAAAAGACGGGAGATAAAGTGCTGCTGGTCATAGTGGCTGGGGCATGAGAAGAGGAGAGAAAGCCTGCTTCAGTTTTGCACACAATCATTTGAGGGGAGCGACAGTGAGGAAGTGGAGCAAACAAAGACAAAGTGTTGAATAGTTACCATGACTGTGGGCCAGGAACGTCCAAAATGCCGTGCCGCGTGAAAGAGAAGAGAGGGGATCAGTCGAAGTTCCTCAGACCACAAGGAACCGGGAGGGATGAGTGAGATGGAACGACGCGGGGAGTGTTTTACTGTACAGCAGAACAATGACAACAAATCAATGACAGAGTAAAGAGTCTCTTCAGAGTCTCAACGTTTATCTAAAGTACTAAGATTTGTCCTTCCATCGTTTTAGTGGACCGCCAAACCCTTAAATGTTGTAAGATTACAGAACCTAATACCATACACATGACCCCCAACCTGAACCTCAGTGAATGAGGGGTACCGTGCAAACTAAGTGATAGATATCCTGGTCATTGTTTAGATTCACAGAGTGAAGTATTTTTAATTACTAAACTAAATTTAGATCGCTGGTCTGTGTTCAGGTTTTATTGTTCAACTCGGCAGTTTAGGTTCAACATGAGTTTTTGTGATTCTTGTCAGATGCATCAGGCGGTATTAAACAGGGTCTCCAATCTCTTCAGCCAGTGTCATGATCTGCAGTGACTCAGCAGTTGGAGATGAAAAAAAAAGATAGGGACAGAGGGTGACTGCAGAGAGTATTTTTACGCTGCGGAGAGCATGATATTGTCGAGCCTAAGCTGTGTAACTAAACTCTTTCAGGCTGACTCACTGGAGGCTGGGGACTCCCTGGGGGCGGGGGGGTCTGGGAGTAATGTGTCTCCACACATGAGGGGAATGCTTAACTGAGAGCGATGCAATGTGTCCTCTTTCTTTCAAGGTCAAAAAAAGGTTTTCGCCTGCAGAAGATTAACTGCTCTTAAGTCTTGCATATTTCTACCGATGCAGCAACCAAAAAGAGTCTGTTTGAAGGGGCAGCTTTATTTAATCTGGAAGGTTAAATGGCTTCACTGATGACGAGGGCTGGGAATCTCAGGGTACCTCATAATATGATACGATACGATATGCGATACATGGCTCACGATAATATCTCAATATGGCGATACTGCGATTATCGATACATTGCTCCTGGTAACTTATGATATATCTGTGTATTTATAAGAGTGAAAGAAAAACAAACAATAAAATACATTTCATGGTTTATATTTTGCAGCATAAAGTAACTACAGTGCAGCCAGCAATAGTGCAAAAAATGTATATTTCTTGGGTGTCTAACAAAGAATGGCACAATATTAAACTAATTTAGAAAACAAGCGCTGGAACAGTTTTTTTTCAGTGAAATGTTTACAGCTGGGTAGTTCGTGCCTTTTCAAGAGACACTTCTTGTATACTGCTAAGTCCTTTTCCAACTTTGTCCCATCCACACCATAAAAACCAAAGTGTGTCCATACTCTTGATTTAAACGATGCTGGTGCGTCCTATCAGTCTAACTTCACCACCACCTGAGTCTGCCATATTTTCTATGTGGTTTGTTCTTTCTCTTTTGTATTAACTCACTTGCGGTCGTGAGGATCACGATAGTTTGCCATATCTATATTTTGTCACACTTCTACTGATAACACTGTGGTAGAACAAGGAACTATGACAAATCCCTTTTGTGGACAGAAACAGCTCATCGTTGATCCTCTTGGGAGTAAAAGTGAATAAAAACGTGGTACTTTGTCCTTTTACAGATCTGAAACAGCTGTAGGAGTGTCAGGCTCTTGACCTCAGTGATACTTATTGTATTTACATAATCATCCAATCTGTACAAACTTTGTGGGTTAGTTTGTAGAGCAGATTCAGAAGCAGAACTCTGTAGAAATTGTTTCTTCACAGAGTCTCAGAGAGGGCAGAGAGAAGAAGATGAAACTGTAAGGAGAGAGCAAGGCAGTGGGTAGCAGGTTAGAATCAGAAAGGTGTGGCTTGGGTTGACCGCTGTGAACCTTGAAGTAGGCACGCAAAAACTGTCACTTCCTGAAGGTGTAACTGAACAGAAAGTTGAAACTGTTTATCACACCCAACAAACTAATCAGACATTTTGTCTCTACAATCCCACATTAAGCTCAACTTGACTATTTTATAAATGAATCGTGACCTTTAGATTCGCTGGATAGTCAGAGTTTGAATTCCCTTTAAAAAACAAGTTCATTGTTTGCTTGGAAACACCCCCAGTGAGATGGTCAAGGTTGTGAAGTGTGCAGAACTAAAACTGCAGGTAGCCAGAGTGTAATGTGCATGAGTGAGTCCACAACACATGACAGTCTCCCGAAAACTGATCCCAGTGAAGTCAAATGAAAATTTTCCACCACATTTAGTGATAAGAAGGATGGAAAGACTTGCTTTATAGACAGCTGGTATTATTTATACAGTGGGTATAACACAGGGGGCTGCATAGGTGTATAAATTTTAGCTCAGGGTGATAATTTCACTCATGCTTGAGTAAGGTGACCAGAAGTCCCCGAATTGGATGACCTGTCCCCAGCAAAAGTTGTCCCTGAAAATGTCCCTGATGTAAGCGTTTCATGAATGAGAACAAAATGTTGCGTGTGGGCTAGAACAACGGTTATTGCAGTAGCCGAATGGGTAGACAGCACAAGAAAGCAGTCCTGAACAACAGGATTCCTGCCTCCTGCCGCCGTACCGAATGTCCCCGGATTTCATTACAGAAATCTGGTCACCTTGTGCTTGTGTCAAGTGCGACTTAAATGTGCGAAGAGTGGGCCTGACATTTGTTTAAAATGTGTTGAAATCAAACAGAAAAAGTCCCAGCAGTTGTTCAGTGAGAAGTTGTCTGTTGTCTTGTTCAAGGATTGATTCCAAGATCATCCTCATCTTTATTGGTTTGGGGTATTTTTGTTTTTATGGAGGGATGGTGTTTTCAGTCTGGAGCTGTGTGTTCAGAGTGCTCTCAGGAGTTTGATCACAGAATTACAGAATTACCTTGTTTCTAAATATGATAACAAGTGCAAGATTTTCACTGCAGCTCCTTATGTGTTGCTGCATAATCACAGGGTGTGACTGTACCAATTCATCATCTTGTCAAGTCAGCCAGCAGAGCAACATCTGGGACACAGAGGCTGGTCAGTGTGTTTCACAGAACTCGTCTGCCTGGAAAAAACCCTGGAGTTGTCATTCTGGCGGCTACAGCCAAGCAGCATATGCCTCGTATGCTAACTCCACTGCAATTTTTTTGCTTGTCCAAATGAGTTACAGCCAAATAAGTTGGATTTTCTTCATGTGAGGCATTCTTGCTCATGACATGTAATTACACTGCAGAGTTCAGTAAGACGGTTTCTGGCCCTGGAGGCTGTGTTTAACTTGGGAAAACAGGGAGTTGCTAAATTCAGATTAAAAATAACTAAAGTTACAAGAGGCATTTGGCCAGTTTGACACTGAGATATTCAAAGAACTTTAACTATAAATGGGTTTGTCACATTTTTGGGTGATTATTTGTTCAGTAGAGTCAACCAAAGTTACCTAAATGAAGAAAATCATCAGGTTCTTGAAGTTCCATGTAATTCTTTCGAGATAGAACCACCACACACCTTAGATAGGCCACTTTACAATATCAGCTCTCTCTTACTATCAGCGTAATACTGTTGTGCAGGTCAGAGTCAAGTCTTTTATCAAGACCCAAAGCAAGACTGCTAAATCCCAATTATTACCTTCGCCAAGGAGGTTATGTTTTCGGTAGCGTTGGTTTGTTTGTTAGTTTGTTTGTCAGTTAGCAACTTTACGTAGAAAGTAATAAACGGATTGACCTGAAATTATTAGTCCCAGGAGGATCCCATTAAATTTTGATGGTGATCCGGATCGCCTTCTGGATCCAGGAACTTTTTGAAGGATTCTTTATCATTGTGAGATAGGGCAAATTTTTGAATTTTTGCATTTAACTCTATAAAAATGGTCTTTAGTCTTTAGTAAAAAATTACACTAAAAGGATCTCAATGAGTTTTATGAGGTGTCAAAGGTTGATCCTGATCCACACAAAATTCCGGATACTGTGATCCAGAACACACAAAAATAAGGGTGTCGTTGGAATTTTCAATGCTGAAAGATAACCAATGGGCGGCACAGTGGTGTAGTGGTTAGCACTGTCGTCTCACAGCAAGCAGGTCCTGGGTTCGAATCCTGGTCAGGGCATTTCTTGTATTATGAACAGTGAACATACCAGTTTAAACACAATTAAACATTAATTAAAGACACGTAACAGTAAAAGTTTTGGTGTGAATCACAATATAAGGGGGGACATGAGCTGCTTGGCAGAGGTCTGCGCTCTCAGAGTGCTTTTCTAGTTTTAACATGAACTTTTTGCATCCTGAAAATCCGTCATTTAAGGCTCTGAGATCTGTCTTTGTGACCAGAGCGTATTGGAATGTCAAAGCATTTCATGAAACAAACCTGTGATTTGAATCCCCCGTCGAATCCACGTGTCCTCAGCTTTTCACATTTTTTTGACACGTTTGTTGAAGGGACTTTTCGGCTGAGAAAGAAGGGAGACCGCAGTTCTTAACTGCAGTGTAACTTCTGGCCACAATGACGTCCTGATAATGTGACACACCCAATTAACAGCTGCGGCTCCTTCACTCCCCCTATAAGCTTCTTGCACTGAATGCTGGAGGCAGCTGAACTCTGAGTCAAGTTGCAAGTCGAGTTTGATGGTTTTGATGAGTTGAGCTCAGTCACTGAAATCATTTGGTGTTGTTTGATGAGGACATTAGGGTCAGAATTATTAATCAGATATAGGAACACTTCAAATATTTATTATTTGCCTGAAAAACCAGCCATACACTGTTTGTAAACTGCAGATTAGCTTCCTGTCCCACAAGCTATAAGACAACAAAAACAGCTTTTACAGTGTGTGATCAAATGTAGATATTTTCATGGGGCTAATGTTGTTGATGATACCCGATGGGATTCCCCACACTTCTTTTGGGCTCTCCTCTGACTCATGATTCTGTTTGGCCCACAAATAGAGACCAGAAAACTTCAACACCAAAGACTGTGCCTCTTGTCTGCAGCTCTTGCATCCCTCTCCAAAAACCTCTCTGGTTTGAGTCTGTAACTTGAGTCCACACTTCCAGTTGCCTCATCCAAATATCAAACATCCCTCTTTTTTTCTTCCAGGTTCTCCCGGTCAGACGAGCTCTCTCGACACCGGCGGTCCCACTCAGGTGTCAAGCCCTACCAGTGTCCGGTGTGTGAGAAGAAGTTCGCCCGCAGCGACCACCTATCAAAACACATCAAAGTCCACCGTTTTCCACGAAGTAGCCGGACAGTACGCTCGGCTAACTGAGCCCATGCTGCTTGGATCCCTGAGATCCTTCTCATACAGTGAAAAGCCAGAAGCACGCTGTGAGGGGAATGGAAAGAGTCAAGCCTTCTTCAAGTCCATCTGAACGCCTTGCTGTTTGTGTCTGCAGTCATTGATTCTTTTCATTTATTGTACAGAAGTAAACCAACTGAGTTACCATCCTGTAATCAGCAAGAGGTTGTTGCTGTTGGTGCTTTGGTACTCCTGTTTGTTCTGTCCTGATCGCCTTCGTCAGCAGAAGTTCAAATAAGCTTTTTTTTCATCCAGTCTGGATTATGTGATCGCTCTGGTATTTGTCTTGCATTTCGATTCTGCCGATATCAAAACAACTGCCTTCTACCTTCCTGAAAGCTGCCAATATCTCGGACATTCTTCATGTTATGCAATGTGAAGGCGAGTGGGATACTCGTGAGCTGCTACTAGAGTTGTAGTTACTTCCCCAGAGGTCCACAGAGGTTTCTCCTGTGTGGCTCCTCTGTTAGCTTTTTTTCTAGTTTGTGCTGCAAAGATGATTGACAGCACAGTTCTAGCTGATGATTTAACTTGGTTTTCATGCACAAGATGAGACCTGTGAAATATGGTCATGGACTGCTGATTGCATAACAAAGAAAGCGTAAAAATTTAATACAAGGACTCGACTTTTTTCATCCTCTTTAAAAATCTGCTGTGACTCAAGGAGGAGGAGGACGAGAGAGCAACACAAGAAATGCAAAATTGACTCAAACCTGAAACGTTAGACGCACAGTGATTGTTATATCAGCCTTGTGATCAGTGTTAAATGAGCTTTGTTGATTGTTTAATCAAGCTAAGGTCGCTTTCACACCAGAGCTGTTTGGTCCGCTTTAAACGGACCAGAGTTCGTTTCCTCGGATAGTCCACTTCGTTGGGGCAGGCGTGAAAGCTCATCTTGGTCTCGGTTCGCTTGCAAGTGAACCCTGGTCCGGTTCGTATGCAGTGTGAAAGCTCACCAGACCAAATGTACGTAATGACACTATACGCAGTGCATCTTGGGTAGAGGAAGCACGGCGTCCCTTATGGCAACAATTGACAGCTACAATTAGCAGTTGCTAGCTAGCTTAGCTCAATTGTCTGAACAACAATAACCCATAAATTCACAATTTGGCATATTTAAACAAAATCAAATCACAACTACCAACAGTCACAGTCCTTAAACTCTGAGCTCATATGTTGTCACATGTTAGATCGTCAAAGTTAGAGAAATAACAGGATCAATCCCTGACAAGCTACGATAGCATTATAGGAACAGTTGCGTTCACTAACGTTTCAGCATTCCATAAAATAATGTGACGAAGCACGATACAAGACGGCTAGTCCACCCCTGTTTGTAATCCGTGAGGTTACATACCCCTCCTACTTTGTCCAATCGACGGGCGCCCCTTTCAACCACGTGATGCTGCTCGGAAAGTTCGGTGCGCTTTAGAAATCAGTGTGAAAGCAGAACCGAAACAAGTGATAAATGCAACAATGTTGCGACTTTCAGCTCCACAATCGAACCGAGTCCGCTTGGTCAGGTGTGAAAGCGACCTAAGTCATGTGTACCAACGTGCACTTCTCCTACTTATCTGACTTTCTGGCCTTACTGTACCACATAATCCTTACTGGAAGCCAAATGGTTTGGGAAATCCATCTTTTCGAGGTAAATCTTTTCATGAGGTGTAAAATGGCTGTTCTGAGGAGTCATACTGTGACACAGTGAACAGCCGTGGACCTAAATGTCTCAGTCTGCTCTTATCATCTGTTCCATTATTTTGCTGATGACTTGACACAAAAACTGCCTCAACAGAGCTTCTTGTTACTGGCTGACTCTCACAGCCTTCCAGTCACACTTCTGCACACAGTTGAGTCGAGATGACAAACCGACACACTACACACCATGGTGCTGAACTACCAGAGGAAGCTCTTCTGAGAAATGGTGTCACAACATCCCCCTAAAGGATACAACACACTCTGAAATGCTCTGAATGCGAAGTGTACAGGACTACGACTATACCGTCCATATGTGATTCGTGTGTGTAAAGCAACAACAGGCAGGGGTACACAACTTTGTACATCATTCCTTTCATTCAATTTTGAATTTTTAACGCTTGTGTGAACACAGGTGTGTTATCGCATCCTATGAATGTATGTAAATATGCAGGAGTGCAGCGCTGCATCCTGGACTCCCACAGAGACGATCCTGAGACCATATCTTAAAACAAATCAGTGCTTGTGAAGATTTTTAGTGTAAACCCCATATGTGTACATAGCATTTAAGTACATATGAATATATTATATATTTTTCTTTGTCCTATCCAAGATGCATTTACAAATAAAACTCAAAACAAGCAAGTCTGAGTTGGATGTTTCTGTATGTCATTCTTCTAGGGTATGAAGCTCCTGTCCTGATTTTGAAACAGACTGGAATGTACAGTTTTGACTTCATAGGAGGTTTTCAGTCACATGATCCTGACTTCACACGAGGACCAAATGGAGGGCAGGAAGCGACCGACTGCAATGGAGGAGATGCAGATGGTTTAGATGTGTGCCGGTATTTAGCCTTAGATGGAGTTTACCACCCGCTTTGGGCTGCATTGCCAAACAACCCGACTCCGGGAAGACCGTACCCCGGCACGATGGGGGGCGCTACCGGCCTCACACCGTCCACAGGCTGAGCCTCGATCAGAAGGACTCGGGCCCCCGAGCGACGCCAGGCAAGCGGTCTTCCGTAAGCCACATTTCCCACGTCCGCCCGCCGGACGGGGATTCGGCGCTGGGCTCTTCCCTCTTCGCTCGCCTCTACTGAGGGAATCCTGGTTAGTTTCTTTTCCACTGCTTAGTAATTTGCTTAAATTAAGCGGGTCGTCTCGTCTGATCTGAGGTCATAGTCAGAAGTTGGGGTCGAGGAGCGGAGATAGGGGTCGAAAGGACCCCCTTTTTCCCCGTTCGCCCCCTCCGGAGCTCTGGGGCGCTCCCGGCGCGTCCGCCTGCTCTGCACCCCCCTTCCTACACAGTTTGACACAACTCAATTTCAAATGAAAGAATTTAACTACGGGCTAAAAATGAGTCATTACCTTTGACAAAGTGGTCACTGCACACACAGGCATTATCCGACGCAGCTCCTCCAGACCGTAGGCCAGTGGTTCTCAAGTCCAGTCCTCGAGCCCCCCTGTCCTGCATGTTTTGAATGTTTCCCTGCTCCAACACACCTGATTCAAATGATCAGCTCGTTATCAAGCTCTGAAATGGCTGAATAATTGAAAAGAAATATTTTTTGCGAAGCTAAAAAAATGAGTCTTCAGGTTTGTCAGTTGGTTGCGCCTCTGAAGCAGCGGTGTAGCCACAGTAGCAGTGGTGTAGCAGTCTTGTCAGCCAACTTGTGGGTCCCATACAAATAAAACACTTGAAGTTTTCAGACATGTTACTGCCCAGGTAGCACACATCATGCCGATGTCAGCCTCAGAATGGCACGTCAGCCTCCAGTCTATGATGTCTAACAAGCATTGGCCCAATAGCGGATTAAGTGCCCTAATGTCCTAGCTCATCAAACGTCTCAGCAAGGTTGTTTTTGTGACGCCTGGCCGACCCCGCCTTCCAGTTCGGACAGTCACCTGATGACAGTCGCCATTACATGCCATTAAACAAAGAGGAACGCAGAGGGAAATACGCCAACTCCCCACCATTGTTTTTCAGGTAATCTACTAACTTTTAAGGCAATTCTGTGCAATTAATAAAGTTGCTAACAACTGGGTATGCCCAGTCTCCTCTCAGATGCAAATGGACCCGGTAGCTGCAGGTAAGCACTAACGCACCGGACTGCTTGTCCTGGTGCTGCTGTTAGCTTTTATTGTAGTAATCCATTGCACAGCAAGAGATTTGGTGGTAGCAGATGTGATCCACACAGATCCCTCTCTTCCAAAGGTGCAAACTCCGCTGCAGAGAACTGATGTCAAGTGTCTGTAATAACCGTCTCTGGGACCCTATGACATGCAGAAATCGACTTCAACTTTCCTGCCACAGGGGCTGTAGTGATGGAAGTAAGGTTAGACACTTCAATGTAGTGTGAGTAGTCGCCAATGACCACAAGGTACATGGTATTGTCCCACTGGAAAAGGTCTGCCACACAATGCCATGGCCTTTCACGCAATGGAGTCGTTAGCAGCAACTCTGGTGAACTGTGATCCTCCGGGTAGAGGTTGCACAGTTTTTCACTCTCTGTTTAATTTGTTTGGTCAGACCTGGCCACCACACAGACTGCTGCGCTCTGGCGGCACACTTTGATGACCTTCATGTATCTTGTTGAGCATTTCCTCTTGCATTGTGACAGGAATGACGAGTCTTTCGTCATTCATCAGCAGTCCATATTCAACCAGCAGGTCCTGGTGAAACTGCTCGTACCTGTTTTCACCATGTATTTCAGTCTTTTGCAGACGTGTCATCTGTCATCTGTGTCCTGTGCTGTTCTTATCTACACCAGCCTCTGCTCTGATGCTGGCAAGTGCTCCATTATTAGGCTAATGAACGTACACATCTTCTTCCAATCTCTTGTCCTCTGGCTTGATTTGACGCCCTGCATTGTGCACCAGCACTGATTAATTTCTCTCCTTAAATCCCTTCAGAACAAAAACTTCATGTCTGACTTATGAAGAAACTAATGAACTTGTGAGTCCTTTGCAACCACAACAATATCTTATCTGCCCTTGATCTTGAGGAGACTTTTTTTTTTACCTTTATTAACCAGATAAAAACCCACTGAGATCAAGATCTCTTTCACAAAGCTGACCGGGCCAAGAGGTCAGCAGCACACATCATGAAAAAAAAAAAAGATTGGAACACAGGGCTCTAATTTTGTGCCCGCTGGTGGCATGGCACAGGGTGGTGCAGTGGTGATTCAGTACAGCGCAGCCCCGTGTGCAGCCAATTTGGTAAATTTGTAGACTGTTGTGCACTGAGACATCTATCTAGTCACATCTGTTCCTCAAATTCAAATCAGCTTTTTGACTTTCTCTTGTCTCAGGAGTAAAACAATGAAGCTAAAGGTAAAATAATGACTATACCGCCTCAAAATACAGTTAAAGTACTTTATTTATCTTTGTAATCAGGTTTAGATCAAATGTGACAAACAGCAAACACTGTCTACTAAAATACCGTCAGACTCTTAAAGGTGCGTGAGCATTTATGTGTGGGCCGGGCTGTTGTGAATCTAGGTGAAGAAAATTAAAGATTTAATAAACCAAACAACACAATTCTGTGTCCACTAAAACCACAAAAGTCAAGGGGAAACTCACAAGGATGTATGAAGGGGTTGATGAACAATCCAACACAGATGGGAAGGGAAGGAAGGAAAGAGGGAAAACACAGGAAGGTCAATTAGAAACACCAAGACTAAAACAAATGAAACACTAAGGAGGATCAGGATTAAGAATGGCTGACTTAACAAGTACAGACACCTGAAGGAAAAAGACACATGAAACACAAACTACACTGATAATAGCTGAGAACAAAACCACGAAAATTTGGAACTAACCGAAGCAGCGGGACACAAATTTTAATCTGCAAAACTGTCTAGGTAGATTTTTAAATACAAACTGTGCAGTCGATATTCACACAGAGCCACAGAGGACGTGACCTCTGTGTTCTCCCATTGGTAGCTAGCTGCAGGTCTGCACAGCAGCCAGCTGTGCTGAGCTATTTACTTTGCTTGTTGACATTACAGGTTACGTACCTGATGGTCTGTTCTGGTCTAACAATTTATCAAATAAGTCAACCACTCTGAATCAGATCCAGTATAATGATCTACAGCTTTAGAGAAAATACACTTTTGGTCTGAGATATTTACTAAGATATTCGATGGCTGCAGCCCTACTTGCTTCACAGTCATATTCGAAGCCACGGCATGTTTGTCTCTTGCCTGCCTTTTGGCCTTGATTCTGCTTCTACTTGTATGGATTGATTTCCTGAAGCTGCTGCCCCCCGCGACCAGGACCCGGATAAGCAGAAGAAAACGACAACGATGTATTTCCTTGCATCTGTAAAGCTCTTTGCATCACCTTGTCTATAAATTGTGCTGTACAAATAAACTTCCCTTGCCTTTTATGCAATTGTTGGCTTCCCAAAAAGAGATGCTGCAGTCAATGATGGTGATGATAATTCTGGCTCAAGATATGTATCTTGTTGTTATGCCCAGTGTACATGGGTAAGCATCTGTGTGTCTTTGAGTATGCATGACTTCAGGGAGAGGGGTTGTAGAGAGAACAGAGAGCAGGGAGCTAATTCATCCCATATGACCCCACTGACTGTGGAAGCATTTACCTTGACAACTGCTCACAGACATAAACATGGTGCACAGGAGGCTGCACCTGGTTTTGCTCATGAGGTACTTTTCAAAATAAGGGTGCATAAAGAGTTGTTGTTTAGCCACATCTTTCTACATACGCATGAAACACAAGAGGTACTGAAGTTATTGGAGATTGTAAGCTTTGACAGGTCAGATAAGGAACATGCTTGTTTGTTTTGGTTTCATACATTTACACAGGGAACTTTCCAACAACATGCTCTTTCTGAAAACAGAGTCATAGAGGATGAGAAATTTATACTAACCAGGGACAGCCATGTAAATACTTATGCATCACTGGGTGTCCAAATTGGATTAATAAATGAGCAGCAATTGTAGGCCTGGGCCGATAACAATTTTTAGTGGACAATAAATTGTCCCACAAATTATTGATGATAAACAATATTTTTGTCGACATTATTGAGACCAAAATAACCACTTTTGTAATATTAATAAATCACATATTTTCTGGAGAGCAATTCATAGTGTTCGTCAAAAGTTTGTATCATTTCTCGAAATGCTGGCTTTTTTTTTAACCGTATTAAATGGCAGCATTTCTTTGGCAATGTACAAACTACACTTTCTGTGAGCGCACACCGTTCTGTATTTTTATCTGTTTATATATTTTTTTGCTCTACAACTCCATTGTTTACATGATTGCATCAAAAAAATATTGCAACACCACCACCTGTAGTTTTAGGTCATGTGCAAATATGTACAGCAGAATCATTTTTCTGGTCACTACGTTTACATGTGTGTATGTATAGGGTGCATGTGTATTGGATTGTATATAAGCATTGACAAAGTAGGCGCGAGGGTAGATGTGGACACAAACCCCTCTCCTACTGTACTGTATTATTCTCTGTTGCCCTTTTGTGTATATATGTTTTAAAATGATTTGTAACGCTTTCTTTTACGGTACACTTATTACCAGGTTATTAACAGGTAATTACCTGGTAACAACATGAAATTATCTGGTAATTACATGATAACTACTAAGTCAATACTGTCTATCTATCAGGTAG